GTGTGTCTTACTTTCGAGAACAATAGCTATAAAACAGAAATTTCCAGATTGTTACGTAATACGACACAACCAACCATAAGTGGTAACAGAATTTTCCAGTCATATAACAGATCAAAGATTTTTTCGTCAACGCATTTTCACGTATCAACTTCTATTTTTGGATTATCCAATCATATCAAAAAGCATGCAGTTCCACCTTGAAATGGGTTCAATTGATTTACGGTTTATTGTATAATTTATAACACAGTTTAGAGGACAATGTGTAGGAGTCGCATTTTTGACTTCTAAGTAGATTCTTATACGGAATTCCGGATGCAATGCTAGACATTTAGACCACTGCTGTCGAACCGATTTGAAAATGCTTAAGGCTTTTTTTCTTTGCGCATGTCGTGTGCTTGTCGTGTGTTTTTGATGTGTATGATTTTTATATTTGTGATAATTATTTGAAGCAAAATAGGATTATCATAAAGGATATTTAACATCTACAATATGAGTACGGTAAGCACTCTCTACATACTGCGTTTGTAAACCACAAGATTCACCCCTTATTAGAAAGTTTTAACTATAGTCTATTGCATGTAAACGTTTAAAAAATCAGCTCAAAAAACAGACATCTCTCTCTCTCCCTCCCTCTCTAACTAAGGGCTGCGCACGCGTACAAATGTTAAATTCAATCGTTAATTGTACGTACGTAAAAAAACGAAGAAAGCCGACTGCTGAAATTAAGAATTCGTTTTCCAGAGCAAAATTTGATTGGATAATATTAGACTGATTGTAGTGCTTAGTCAATCAAAATTGAAGTATCTACTAAAATTTGGATTTTATCTTTAGTTAAAATTTCGTGAAACAGGACCCTGGTCACAAGACTCGGATTCTATTCATTTTAGGGCGCTGCAAATTTGGTTACAAAACGTTTCAGTTATTATAAATCCAGCAACAACTCATTTTTCTAGAACTGAAATATAACCAAAAAGACACGCATTGACTGTTTCATAATTATTAAAAATATGAAAACGCGACACGATGCGTAAATTGTGCGTCTTACTTTCGAGAACAATAGCTATAAAACAGAAATTTCCAGATTGTTACGTAATACGACACAACCAACCATAAGTGGTAACAGAATTTTCCAGTCATATAACAGATCAAAGATTTTTTCGTCAACGCATTTTCACGTATCAACTTCTATTTTTGGATTATCCAATCATATCAAAAAGCATGCAGTTCCACCTTGAAATGGGTTCAATTGATTTACGATTTATTGTATAATTTATAACACAGTTTAGAGGACAATGTGTAGGAGTCGCATTTTTGACTTCTAAGTAGATTCTTATACGGAATTCCGGATGCAATGCTAGACATTTAGACCACTGCTGTCGAACCGATTTGAAAATGCTTAAGGCTTTTTTTCTTTGCGCATGTCGTGTGCTTGTCGTGTGTTTTTGATGTGTATGATTTTTATATTTGTGATAATTATTTGAAGCAAAATAGGATTATCATAAAGGATATTTAACATCTACAATATGAGTACGGTAAGCACTCTCTACATACTGCGTTTGTAAACCACAAGATTCACCCCTTATTAGAAAGTTTTAACTATAGTCTATTGCATGTAAACGTTAAAAAAATCAGCTCAAAAAACAGACATCTCTCTCTCTCCCTCCCTCTCTAACTAAGGGCTGCGCACGCGTACAAATGTTAAATTCAATCGTTAATTGTACGTACGTAAAAAAACGAAGAAAGCCGACTGCTGAAATTAAGAATTCGTTTTCCAGAGCAAAATTTGAAACTTTGATGTGACCAAGAAACATAACTCTTTTTAATGAAAAAATCTTCCGCTGTAACGCTACTTGTTGATCAACTTTACCATATAATTAGAAAGTCCCATTCAAATGGCCAAATCACACAAATATCCAACTTAGCAATAGTTTAATTGTTAATGAATGATGATTTTAATGGTAAGTCTTATCATATTTGATAAAATAAGCCCCAAATATAGCTCGTTTATTGAATTTTTGTTATTTGCACGAACCACTCTACAAAAGGGCCGCCGCTCGTACACGAATAGTGTAAAAATTAGGTATATCAAGGTTGTGGACCCTGCAGAGGTCAAATTTTCACCCGATTTTGATGAAACTTTAAATGCATGTTTATAACCCAAAGATCTTGTTTCCTTTCAATATTCGCGCATATCGGATAGTAACTTCCTGAATTATGGCCCCTGATTGAACGAACAATCACGTTTTTTAGCTTGTGATACTTCTAGAGGTCACAATTATTATCGGATTTAAAAAAACGTTCGAATATATCACTGTTACACCGTATTGTTGGTTGAGGTTGAATATCGTGAAAATCCTACCAAAACTGTCAGACAAAATGGCCGTCCCTCGTATGCAAATAGTGTAAACATCTGGTATATTAAGGTTGTGGACATTCTGGAGGTCACAATTTTGATCTGATTTTGATAAAACTTGAAATGCATGTTTATAACCCACAGATCTTGGTTCCTTTTGATATTTGCGCATATCGGATCGTAACTTCCTGAATTATGGCCCTTGATTGTACGAAAAATCGCGTTTTTAGCTTGTGGTCCCTCTAGAGGTCACAGTTATTATCCAATTAAAAAAAACGTATGAATATATCACCATTACACCGTAATGATGGCTGTGTTCGAATTTCTTGAAAATCGGACCAAAACTAACGGACAAAATGGCTGCCCCTCGTAGGCAAATAGTGTAAATATATGGTATATCAAGGTTGTTGACCCTCTAGAAGTCACAATTTTGAACCGATTTTGATGAAATTTGAAATATGTCTTTATATCCCAAAGATCTTGATTTCTGTCGATATTTGCGCATATCAGATCGTAACTTCCTGAATTATGGCCCTTGATTTTTCGAAAAATCGCTTTTTGTTTAGCTTTATCCATCTCTTGCAAAATTTGGGCGTATCCTGCCTGGCAGCCGCTAGTTATCTTATTAAAAAAGCATCTTAACCATATAAAAAAAAATAAAATAAGGATTTGTTATATTTTTGTTATACAATTTTCAAGAATTTCAATAAAAAAAAATTTCTTCTCAGGTTAAACTAAACATACATTATGCAAGAGCTAAATCTGCCTATCGCAGGTCTTTCTTTAGGCCTGAAATGTTATCTAACTAAATTATTAATTAGACATTGATTAACTTATCCAGACCATCATCAACTTTCGATGCCATTGCTTGCATGCGATATTTAGTGGATTGGAATACATTTTTTAAAAAATAATTAAACGCAAAATGGATAATGTGGTCGTATATTGTCGTCGCCCCCGTCCTTCCGTCGGTCTGTCGGTCCAGCGGTCTGGCGTCCACAATTGCTTGTGTACGCTCTAGAGACTAAAGTTAATATCCGATTGACTTTAAATTTATACACAGTGTTTAAGGTCATGAGACGAAGAAGCCTATTGATTTTCAGCGATTTCCGATAATTACTGCAAGAGTTATGGTCCTTGATCACTTCAAAAAATCTTGTGGACGCTCTAGAAGTCAAAGTTAATATCCGATTGACTTCAAATTTATACACAGTGTTTAAAGTCATGAGACAAAGAAGTCTATTGATTTTCACCGATTTCCGATAATTACTGCCAGAGTTATGGCCTTCGATCACTTCAAAAAATCTTGTGGACGCTCTAGAGGTCAAAGTTAATATCCGATTGACTTCAAATTTATACACAGTGTTTAAGGTCATGAGACAAAGAAGCCTATTGATTTTCACCGATTTCCGATAATTACTGCCAGAGTTATGGGCCTTGATCACTTCAAAAAATCTTGTGGAAGCTCTAGAGTTCAAAGTTAATATCTGATTGACTTCAAATTTATACACAGTGTTTAAGGTCATGAGATGAAGAAGCCTATTGATTTTCAGTGATTTCCAATAAATACTGCCAGAGTTATGGCCCTTGATCACTTTGAAAAATCTTGTGGACGCTCTAGAGGCTAAAGTAAATATCCGATTGACTTTAAATTTATACACAGTGTTTAAGGTCATGAGATGAAGAAGCCTATTGATTTTTAGCGATTTCCAATAAATATGGCCCTTGATCACTTAATATCCGATTGACTTTGAATTTATACACAGTGTTTGAGGTCATGAGACGACGAATTATATTGGCCATTGATCACTTTGAAAAATCTTGTGAGGCTTATGAGGCTAAAGTTATCATCAGATTGACTTCAGATTGATACACAGAGTTTAAGGTCTTGAGACGAACAAGTATATTGATTTTCAATGAATTTTTATGACTTGAACAGCTAAATCCATGATATTAAAAGCTTTGTATACAAAACGTTAGCATGGGGCAGAACTTTATTAAAACCAAACAAATTCTAATGGTTTTCAGATAATTACTTAATGAGTTGTTACTTTTAATCAGATTTTAATGTATTATAAATGTTTCACTACCGAAAAAAGTAAAAATATGCGACAACTCTTATTGACTGCCCGGACGATATAGCTGCTGTGGGCGTATGTTTCGTTGCCTGGCAACCTATTTTTTTATCTTACCGACTTTAGTAATGATGATCGAGGTTACGGCTAAAATTCAATTGCTTATATCTTGATTCAGAGTGGAGTAATTTGACTGAGTTTTTAAGCATATTCTATTTACGTTATCTATTTTTTAACTATTATAGCAAGAACTGCTAACTCTTTATCTAATCTCCCATAATGCTCCTTTAAGCAGAGTGATTAGTAATTTGATTGGTCAAGATTTTGAAACATGATAACTTTGATTCTAATGCTTGAGAATGATGGAACTTGGTGTATAGTTTCATAACATTGATACCTTGACACAGTTCGATATTGAGTGTGTTCTCTGACTTATTAAACTGAAAGAAGTACAATATGTTGTGATTTCAAACTACATTTGGAAGTTCCAATATTGAGATGTCAATTTATAAATTTTAATGAGGAACTGATTGATTCAGTAGTAAATGTATTTTAAGTATTGTACTTTCCAGAATGAGTGTAGTTTTGTCAGTTTAAGAGATGTTGAACGAGTGATAAAAGTTATGGGTTGGTTTAGTACTTCGCACGATGTACTTCGGGAAATCAGAATTAAACTTTCAGACGATGAAAATATTGATGATGATGAAGGTGAAGATGGTGAAGAAATGGTAAAATAATTATTATTTATATAGAGCTAGCATTGAGAAGTAGTAATACTGTGGACTCTGTCACTTCCGTCATCTGAATACTAAGGCATTCTGTGAAATCTGTCATCATTTTCATGTCCTGATTTATTTCCTTATTACTTCAACCCAAAAAGTTTTGAGCAGTCTGGATTCTGAATATTCTGAATTACGACATCAATCAGCAGTCCCGTCACATGATTTGTGTACAATTAACATTGGATAATCCGGTCGTAAAATCACTATCAGTGGGTGTTAACCGACAAGCAATCACCAATCAATTATCTGTGAGCATAAAACAAGTGTCGGTCTTTGTTGATTACCTTGATAATTTATAATCTCTTGGTATAAGTATTCAATTGATTGTACTACAGTATTGGACATTTTAAAGCGGAAAGATGAATTCAAAGAGTGCTTTAAGGGCGTGGACAAACACAACCTGTCAGTCAATTGGTCGGCCAATTGTAAGGTTTGGATGACAAGCGCTATTTAGTCAACTTTAAATGATTATATAAATTCAAAGTACCGGGTAAATTGTTATGCAATTGTTTGATATAATGTAATAAAATTTTGAATGTTAGTAAATTTGTATGAATATCGGTAAAATTCTAATTATCGCAACCAATCTAATACGAAGAGGCTAAATTCTGTAGATACTGTGTGTTAATTAACAGGGGTGAGAAATTGACTGAAAGGTGATTATCACCTTGTTAATTAACACACCGTATCTACAGATTTTAGCCTCTTCATATTAGATTTGTTGCGATAATTAGAATTTACCAATGTTCATACAAATTTACTAAAATAGTTAGAAATCTATACCGTAAACATACAAATCACATTATTACTACTTCTCAGTGTAGTCATGTGTAACGGTGGTCCTGTCGATCTTGAAAACTTATTTAAAATATGATAATGGGAATATAATGTAGCAATTATCAAATAGTTAATAAACCATACCTTCCATCATAAATCCACAAAATAATACCATGCCTTTCATTATGACTATAGATATCACTAGGGATTTGGTATCGTTTAGAACGGTTTTTTTAGCACTGGAAAGTATGCATAGAGTTCACTTTCAAAACATCGTTCGATAATTGATAAAAATCGTTTAAGAATTACATAAATGAGTTAGTTAGTACTATGGCTTAGTTTATTGGTAACGGGTTTAGTTTCTCCGAGAGGCGTTTAAAAATGGCCGACCCGTTCACTTATCTACAACGTTTACTTATTAGACGAGCCGTCTGCTTTCCCGAGATACGTTGAAAAATCAACACACTGATTACTTATCTACGGCCTTTACTTATTAGACGGGCCGATTACTTTCCCGAGATACGTTGAAAAATCAACACACGATTAATTTATCTATGGCGTTGAAAATTTAGATGAACCTTTTAATTTCCTGCAAGCCTTTATCCGATCAGTTAATTTTTATTACGATTATATACATATGAAGTACGAATAAAAAAGGGGAATATAAAAAATGCACACCCATAGATGATCACCTTACCGTGGTCGTAGTATTATATATTATCCACTATCCTATAAACTTAGTATTCCATCACTGACAAATAAATCAAGAATCAGTAAATCACGTCCCAAGTTATACAATTGGAAATCGGAAAATCACGTCCCAAGTTATGTATCTTTTTTAAATCACAAATGAATTAACTAGTCTTCCATCTGTACACGTGTTCATAAGTCGAGCTTACAATGACGGTGCGATAATCTCGCGAGACTGTACAGATGTCAGCTGTTACGTTACCTGGCTATTTCGTACTTAGTTCATTCATACCTCACATGAATCATTTCATACTTCACTTCGTACCCCAAAAGGATTCGTGAGGTGCAAATCACGTGCGTATTCTAATTTTCCTTCGGCAGCCATTTTTATAAATTTAGCGCAGCCTTTGGATTTAGGAAAAGGAACTAATCAATTTGAGGTACAAATCTCGTGCATATTCTGGTTCGGCATATTCAATTTTTTTCAACTTATTTCAACAACATAGGAAAAGGTACGAATCAATTTGAGGTATGAAGTGAGGTACGAATGAACTAAGTACGAAACAGCCAGGTTACGAAACAGCCTGCACCCGACTGTATATTAGACTGGCGCCTAAAAAGGTCCCTGTCAATCTCTATAGACAAGCTGTCGCCCATTTTCAGACAGCGTAATTACTTGATTGGGGGCTTCTGTGCAATTTAGTTGATTATTGGGTACAGGTGTTAAATTTTGGTACTGATTCAAAATCAACATTCCAGAAAAAGAAAAGGGTTTATAAATAAAACAGAACATATATTTAGCTATGATAATCTAATAACAAAAACCAATTGTATGTATTTATATGTATGTACACTAAATATTAAAAACAATCACAAATATCAGCATGAATACTAAAAACACAACAGCATGCACAAAAAGAAATCAAAATTGGAAAACAATCAACGGATTTATATATAATTTAATAAAAAAAAGCAAATTGTATGTATTGATAATGTAAATGAACCATTTAAATCCTAAACCACAGTCTGTTAAAATTGTTAATAAAAATCTGTGTCTTTAAACATCTTCCGGTCAATCAAAATTCAGAGCCAACCAAATTAAGCCAGAGTTATTTTAGTATTCAAAATAAACGCAACTTCTATGTTGTGAAATTCGTCTTTTATCTACGATTATCATATTATGTGTGAAATAGCTTTATTTAACGCCCGCTTCAATTATATCGTATTAGTCACTGATCTCCCCTTAATCTATATTCCCATACACATTAATTACAGAAAAGGCCTGTGTATACACAGTATTATGAGCTATTTTCCTTTTGGTCAGCCGGTTGTTATTTGGAATATAGGATGGAGTTATGTGTTAATTTTACTATGACAAAGGGAGAAGACGACCTGCCCTCTCTTCTCTAGACAGCAAATTTATAAGCGTGCTTTAAGAAACTTTTGGTATCCGAGGACCTTTTTATTTTGTGTTTTTAACAATTTTCATGTGTAAATAATTTAATTAAATCAACCTGTCCATAATATCCTATCCATTGTATTGGACGTTAAATCTTTAATAAACAACACCAACAACGTCATAAATGAACGTTATTACGGTATAGATTAATTATTTGATTGGTCGAATGCTATTGTTTTATTAATTAACATCTGTGGTCAAGTGCCTGGGTGCCATATGAAACCATGTTTTTGAATATACATTTTCGTAAGTACAGTATGGATTAATTCTTTGATTGGTCGAATGCTATTGTTTTATTAATTCTCACCTGTCTGGGTGCAGGTGCCATACAAAATAATGCCTTTGAATGTACAATTGAGTCATAAATGTCCCTTTTTTATAGCTCTAGAGGCTAAAGTTAATATCCGATTGACTTTAAATTTATACACAGTGTTTAAGGTTATGAGACGAAGAAGCCTATTGATTTTCAGCGATTTCCGATAATTACTGCCAGAGTTATGGCCCTTGATCACTTCAAAAAATCCTGTGGACGCTCTAGAGGTCAAAGTTAATATCTGATTGACTTTAAATTTATACAGTGTTTAAGGTCATGAGACGAAAAAACCTATTGATTTTCAGCGATTTCCGATAATTACTGCCAGAGTTATGGCCCTTGATCACCTCAAAAAATCTTGTGGACACTCTAGAGGTCAAAGTTAATATCCAATTAACTTTAAATTTATACACAGTGTTTAAGGTCATGAGACAAAGAAGCCTATTGATTTTCAGTGATTTCCGATAATTACTTCCAGAGTTATGGCCCTTGATCATTTTGAAAAATTTTATGGACGCTTTAGAGGCTAAAGTTAATATTCGTTTGACTTTAAATTTATACACAGTTTTTAAGGTCATGAGACGAAGAATCCTATTGATTTTCAGCGATTTCCGATAATTACTGCCAGAGTTATGGCCCTTGATCACTTTGAAAAATCTTGGTGACGCTCTAGAGGCCAAAGTTAATATCCGATTGACTTTAAATTTATACACAGTGTTTAAGGTCATGAGACGGAGAAACCTATTTATTTTCAGCGATTTCCTATAATTACTGTCAGAGTTATGGCCCTTGATCACTTTGAAAAATCTTATGGATGCTTTTGAGGCTAAAGTTAATATTCGTTTGACTTTAAATTTATACACAGTGTTTAAGGTCATGAGATAATTATTTCCAGAGTTATGGCCCTTGATCACTTCAAAAATCTTGTGGACGCTCTAGAGGCCAAAGTTGATATCCGATTGACTTTAAATTTATACGCAGTGTTTACGGTCATAAGACAAAGAAGCGTATTGATTTTCAGAAATTTCCATTAATTACTGCCCTTGATCACTTCCAAAAATCTTGTGGATGCTCTTGAGGCTAAAGTTAATATCCGACTGACTTTAAATTTATACACAGTGTTTGAGGTCATGAGACAAAGAATCCTATTGATTTTCAACGATTTCCGATAATTACTACTAAACTTATGGCCCTTTGAAAAAACTTGTGACATTCTAGAGGCTAAAGTTATCATCCGATTGACTTCAGATTGATAATTACTTCATGAGTTGTTACTCTTAATCAGATTTTAGTGTATTATAAATGTTTCATTACCAAAAAAAGTAAAAAATATGCGACAACACTTGTTGACTGCCCGGATGATTTAGCTGCTGTGGGCGTATGTTTCGTTGCCTGGCAACCTATCTTATTAACATTAATTACTTGATTGGTTGAATGCTATTGTTTTATTAATTCCTAACTGTAGTAACCAGCCGGGTGCGGGTCAGTTCATCCCACAACCATTTCACCTCAGACTGTTTCAAGTTTCAAGTTTTTATAACCCTTGAGTCACAGACTCATTGGGAAAAACAAAAATATTTACAAAACAAAAAAAAAAGCAATACAAATATCCATATATACTATTATATAAACACAGTATTACAAACAAGAATCATGATATTACAAACTTTTGAGACTGAGAAGAGAGCTTTTCGACCCTGTTCAGCAATGTGTTTTTGTATAATTAGATATTTACCATTAAATTTTTTTTTATCGGGCTGTTTCACCCCCCTTGTTATTATAATTAACTGAGTTGTACTTATCGTTAAATAAACTGTTACATAAACAATAATGTATGGGATAAATATGTTTTACTCGTCGATTTTTGTTGATTACCGATCACGACCAGGATTAGTTCACCGCTGTATGTTCGTATTGTTTGTTAATTGGCGTTATGATTTTAGATCTTAGGTCAGTTCACCGATGTTTTTGTAGTAAAGTATATTCGTATTGTTTTTATATTTGCCGTTATGATTTTAGATTAGTTCACCGATGTTTTTGTAATAAAGTATACTCTTATTGTTTGTTAGTTTATGATGTCTAACATCATTTATCTTCTTTATAAAAAAGGTATTTTATTATTACATATTGACAGCTTAATCAATCGCCAAAATACATCATGGACTCTTAAGTATTACCCAATAATCAACTAAATGGCACAGGGGCCCCCAATCAAATGATTATGTTGTCTGAAAATGGGCGACAGCTTGTCTATAGAGATTGACAGTGACTGTTTTTGGCGCCAGTCTAATGTACAGTCTCGCGAGAGTATCGCACTGCTATTGAGAGCTTGACTTATAAACATATGGAAAACTAGTTCATTCATTTGTGATTTAAAAAGATACATTACCTGGGATGTGATTTACCGATTTCCAATTGTATAATTACCTGGGACGTGATTTACCGATTTTTTTATTTATTTGTCAGTGATGGAATACTAAGTTTATAGGATAATGGATAATATATAATACTACGACCACGGTAAGGTGATCATCTATGGGTGTGCATTTTTATATTCCCCCTTTTTATTTGTACTTCATATGTAAATAATCATAATCAAAATTAACCGATCAGATAAACGGCTCCCGGGAAATTAAAAGGTTCATCTAATTTTTCATCGCCGTTGATAAATTAATCATGTGTTGATTTTTCAACGTATCTCGGGAAAGTAAACGGCTCGTCTAATAAGTAAAGGCCGTCGATAAGTAAACAATGTGTTGATTTTTCAACGTATCTCGGGAAAGCAGACGGTTCGTCTAATAAGTGAACGTCGTAGATAAGTGAACGAGTCGGTCATTTTTAAACGCCTCTAGGAGAAACTAAACCCGTCACCATTAAACTAAGCCATAGTACTAACTAACCCATTTATGTAATTCTTAAACGATTTTTATCAATTAACGAACAATGTTTTGAAAGTAAACGCTATGCATACTTTCCAGCGCTAAAACCCCGTTCTAAACGATACCAAATCCCTAGTGTATGCCCCTTATTTATTGTAACAAATATTAGTCACAATGACTTTTGTCACCAGCTGTACAATACTGCACAATACTCATAGTCAACTATTATTTATTATTTACTCTGTCAAAAAAGTAGGGGATATTCAGAAACAATACAAAACTCCGGAAATGCACTGCTGTTTTTTTAGAGGTAACCAGTGTATGTTAATTTTAATAACAGGCTAATTGCCTACACATGAACATAAACAGTTCATATGGGTGGCTTATCTGACGGCCCCATTTCACTCGGAAAGAGATACACTGTCAAAAGTGAAAATGGACGTTTTTGATTTTTGTCTTGATATTGAGTAATTGCTCCACCAATCCTCAGACATTCAGCAATTCGTCGTGGCATGCTCCTAATCAACCGTCCAATCACGATTTGGGGCAATCTGACCCACTCCTCTTGGAGTGCTGCGGCCAATTCTTGCAGTGTTGTCCGTTGACGTCAACAAACTCGTCTCCCGATCATTTCCCAGACATGCTCTATATTGGAAAGGTCAGGACTCATGGCTGGCTAAGGCATATGGACAATATGGTGCCGCACATTGAGCAAAGGGCAGAACTATCGATGGCCAGGATGTGGTCACGGTAGTACACACCAGATTCCTCCCCACACCATAACAAACCCACGCCCAAATCTGTCATGCTGTCTGACATTAACGTTAGCATGACACTCATTTACATGCCTACAAACGCAAACACGCCTATCAGTGAAATTCGGAGTAAATCTGGACTCATCTGAGAACATTACACGCACCCATCGACGATTATCCCAATTTCTTGTAACTTGGTACAAGTTTACAGAAAGCTGATTGGCCGTTTTTCCTTGATTTCACTGGACCTGTGTACGTATGTATCAATCCGGGGCTTGTGTAGTGGCTCTAGGACAACCTGAACTAGGTCTATTGTCAACATTGTGTGTTTGTTGGTATCAGTTCCACAGTCTGCTGATCACAGACTGTGACACATTAAGCATGTTGGCTACTGCTCACTGTGTAGAACCCATTTGAAGCATGCCAATAGCATGTGGACGTTCATCATGTTGAAGACGTCTCATTGCAAATTAAACTTAACACACTAAAGCAAAGATACGCTAAACAGTAAATCTTATGCAAGAACCGATAGGAAAGCAAACATGGATAGAATAAACCAGCACACGGCAGTTTTCATCAACCCTTTCTTGAAGTGTCAAATTTGACAATGAACCCCTCCCACGTATATGGCGCTATTGCGTGTCGCATGTGCAGCTCAGTGTTCTTTTAGGGTGATATGTTCTTCATCTGTGAACATACTCTCAAAGCATGTCAAGTGTCCATGACTATTTATCATATCACAACCTGCATAGGTATTTGCATTTCAATATCCCCTACTTTTTTGTCGCTCGCCTTTCGAAGATAGCAGGGAACTATTAAAATGGGTTCGTCCGTCTGTCTGTCTGTCTGTCACACTTTCTAATTGAGCTATAATGTTCAAACCTGGTGTAGGTGTTTATTAGGTCAATGCATTGATGGAGTTCGAAGATGGGCATTTTCGGCTTAGGGTAATTAGCAGAGATAAGCAGTTCTAATTAAGTGAGAGTGATGAAACTTGATGTATAGTTTCAGTACATCAATACCTTGACTAAGTTCGATAATGAGCATTTTCTGCTCACAGTAAGCATAGCGATAAGCAATTTGATTGACTGAGACTTTGGAACACAATAACTCTCCTTCTAATTGAGCTAGGATGTTCAAACTTGGTGTAGGTGTTTATTACGTCAATGCCTTGGTGGAGTTCGAAGATGAGCATTCTCTGCTTAAGGTAAACAGAGATAAGCAATTTGATTGGTTGATGCTTTGGGACACGATAACTTTAGTTCTTATTAAGTGAGAGTGATGAAACCTTGACTAAGTTTGATAATGAGCATTTCCTGCTCAGGGTAAGCAGAGTGATAAGCAATTTGATTGGTCGAGACTTGGGAACACAATAACTCTCATTCTAATTGAGTTAGAATGTTCACACTTGGCAGGGTGTCTATTAGGTGAATACCTTGATGGAGTTCGAAGATGAGAATTTTCTGCTTAGGGTAAGCAAAGATAAGCAATTTGATTGGTTGATACTTTGGGACACGATAACTTTAGTTCAAATTAGGTGAGAGTGAGGGCACTTGTTTTATAGCTTTATTACATCAATACCTTGACTAAGTTTGATTATGAACATTTTCTGCTGAGGGTAAACAGAGCGATAAGAAATTTGATTGGTCGAGACTTTGGAACACAATAACTCTCCTTCTAATTGAGGTAGAATGTTTAAACTTGATGTTCATTAGGTGAATGCCTTGATCGAGTTTGATGATGAACATTGTCTGCTTACGGTAAGCAGAGATAAGCAATCTGATATGCTCATGCTTTGGGACACGATAACTTTGGTTATAATGAAGTGAGAGCGATGAAACTCATTATATCATTACCTTGAATAAGTTCGATGGTGAGAATTTTCTGCTTAGGCTAAGGAGCGATAAGCAATTTGATTGGTCAAGACTTTGGAACATAACAACTCTGCTTTTAATTGAGGTAGAATGTTTAAACTTGATGTAGATGTTCATTAGATGAATGTCTTGACTGAGTTCAATGATTAACATTTTGAGCTGAAGCTAAGCAGAGCTAATCAATTTCATTGGTCAATGCTTTGGGACAAGATAATCTTGATTCTATCTGATAGAGAGTGATGAAACTTGGTGTATAGTTTGATTGCTTGATACTTTTGAAAAAAAATGAATGTGCGATTTAATAATATGTGTCATCTATATATTTTGGGATTTCGGCAGGGGACATCAGCCTCACTGTTGGCTTTTTTGAAGAGTATATATAGTATTCTTTCAGTTTTACAATATTGTATTTTTTTTTTTTTTCAGATAAATGATGCAAGTTTGGCCCTCATTCTGGCTCTAGCTGTGTGCTATCGTGCTGGTTTAAGATGTAGAGAAGAATTTGATGAAAATATTGTTGAACAGTTCACAGCACCATGCTCTGTTCCTGGAGGCATAGATCAATTTAAAGCAGTCATTGAAAAGTATGTTTACTGTTTGTAGAACACCTGATACCACTTATTTTGGAAGTTAATATAGCTCAGAATCTATACTTTTATTTTTTGTCTCTATATTATGACTGTGTTGTATGTTGGGTGAATTCAGTCGACTGTATGCTTGAGGTTTTTGTTCTGGATAATCCTGCAGTGATTGTTGCTGTGTACAGTCATTGAATAACATTCTAATAACATTTATTTATTATCAGGTGTCAAGAAATATTCCTTGAAGATGTAGAACTGGATATAAACATTGCTAAAAATCAAGCATTGAAAGAAAACCTGTTTCTAATGGTTGTATGTATAGAACTTCGTATACCTTTATTTTTGGTTGGTAAGCCAGGCAGTTCGAAATCATTGGCTAAAACTATTGTAGCAGATGTAATGCAGGGGAACTCATCGCGATCAGAATTCTTCAAACATTTCAAACAGGTAAGATTATAGAATAAAATTAGAATTAATTCATATTCAGAATATTTCAAACTTTTGACTGAAAGATTACATATGATGTGATATTTCAATTAAAAATAATCTTTTATTTTATACTGCAGACCCACATGATATCATTTCAATGCAGTCCATTATCTACAGCTGACGGTATAGTAAGCACATTCAAACAGAGTGCAAAAATTCAGAAAGAGAAAAATTTGGATACTTTTGTTGCCACTGTTGTTTTAGATGAAATTGGTTTGGCTGAAGATTCTTCAAGAATGCCATTAAAGGTACGTAATGCAAAGATTGATACATTATAGTTACATTTTAAATTAATTAGTAATGTCGAAACACAAGAATTATTGAATTTTTTGGGAATTCACAAAAGCTGCACACTTTGTCTTTATCAAGCAAATAAGTGAATAGTAGTCATATATATACAACATATGCAACAACAATAGCAATTTAATACAATTCAGACTTAACTCCTTTGAATTTGTTGCCTTCATTTGCAAAGCTTCTTGTGGGCATAAAAATTTGTAGATTGAATCTTGCTATACCCTTGTTGTGTGTTGTATATTTAAGACATTGCACCCTCTACTTGAAGATGGCTGTGAAGGAAATGAAGCCCGTGAACCACATAAAAAGGTACCCTTGTTTTATTAATTCATTCAGTGACATCCACCCAGATGTTCTTTGAAAAAAAATCTATTAAAAAAGTTTTGTCTAGTTGTAAAATCAATATCTGAGATATGTCGGTGTTGTAAGATGGAACACAAACACCATTAATTCTTAATGGTTCAGTCAAAAATATCGGTTGACAAATATTTTCTGTATGATGCTTTGTAATGCATTGCTTCATGTGTGATAGTTTTAGTATTAGATATGTTGAATCTTTCTACAGGTTGCGTTTGTTGGAATATCAAATTGGGCTTTAGATCCAGCTAAAATGAATCGAGGTATTTCAGTGCAGAGAGAAGTACCAGAAAATGATGAACTAATGGAGACAGCAGAGTTAGTAAATTGTGAAAAGTTTTTCTCTCTTTGTGTGTTTTAATGCAAATAAAGAAGGTGGGAATCCTTCGGGACTAAATCTTATTTAGCCATCCGTTGCAAAAGTTCTTAAGTGTGAATCCATTTTGATTTAAATTGGTTCAAATATTATCTAACGTGTGACATATCATTTCTGTCACAGTCGGGATTAGTCGTGAAATGTCCAATTATTTGTATCGTAACATTTCTACTCGCGCATCCTTTGGGATGAAAAAGTAAGTGAACCAATTTTGGTCTGTTATATTTAATATCTGCAAATTGTTCTTTGATTCGCTTTGAAAAAAGGATATGTAGGCCAGTAAGCAATAGGTAGACTATATTTCTAGCCTGGTAATATTATGACAGGGAGATTTTATGTTGGATTGTACCAATAAAGTAATAATATTGGTCTTATTTGCTGCAGATATATCAGCCTTTAAATGATGTGATTGGCTTTTGTTGTTGCCCCTATCTGTCTGTCTGTCAATCCGTCCATCCACAATTTGTTTGTTGACACTTTACTCCGATTTTAATGAAACTTTGAATTTAGGTTGATCGTAAATTCATAGATTATGGCCCCTGATTGTACGAAAAATCACGTTTTTAGCTTGTGGATGTATTATGCCGTTGCCCCTGTTCGCCCACAATTTATTTGTGGACACTGTACATGTCACAGTTTTCATGTGGACGTATATTGTCCTCGTCCCTGTCCATCCGTCCGTCCACAATTGTTTGTGAACAGTCTACAGGTCACAATTTTTATCCGATTTCAACGAAACTTGTAATATAGGTCTATCTCCCTAAGATATCAGATCCTTTCGATATTGGCATGTATCAGACTGTAACTTCATGGATTATGGTCCCTGATTATACAAAAAATCGCATTTTTAGCTTGTGGACCCTAAAGAGGTCACAATTTTTATCTGATTATGTTGAAATTTGAAATGTAAGTTTATAACCCAAAGATCTTGGTTCCTGTCGATATTCTCGCATATCGGACTGTAACTTCCTGAATTATGTCCCTTGATTGTACAAAAAATCACGTTTTTTAGCTATGGAGGTCACAATTTTATTTCGATTTAAAAAAACATTTGAATATATCACTGTTACACCGTAATTTTGGTTGAGTTCGAATTTCGTGAAAATCGGACGAAAACTGCCGGACAAAATGGCCGTCCCTCATACGCAAATAGTGTCAACATTTGGTATATCAAAGTTGTGGACCCTCTAGAGGTCACAATTTTGATCCAATTTTGATGAAACTTTATATGCATGTTTATAACCCAAAGATCTTGGTTCCTGTCGATATTCGCTCATTTCGGGTCATAACTTCCTGAATTATGGCCCTTGATTGTTTGTGGAGACTCTACAGGTCACAATTTTTATACGATTTTGATGTAACTTGAAATATAGGTTTATCTCCAAAAGATCTTGGCTACTTTCGATATTGGCATGTATCGGATTGAAACTTCATGGATTATGGCCCCTGATTGTACGAAAAATGACATTTTAGCTTCTGGTCCCTCTAGAGGTTATCCGATTTAAAATAATGTTTGAATATATCACCGTTACACTCTAGAAGTCACAATTTTTATCCGATTTTAATGAAACTTGAAATGTATGTTTATAACTCAAAGATTTGCACAGATTAGACTGTAACTTCCTGGATTATGACCCCTGATTGTACAAAAAATCACTTTATTTTTTTTTAGCTCGTTCTCTGTCCATCACTTGCAAAATGTGGGCGTATTTTGCATGGCAACTGCTTGTTATCAAATTTTAAAAACCGTTTTTACATGTATATATCACCATTACATATATCACCATTGCCCCATAACGAAGGTTGATTTCGAATTTTGGGAAAATTGAAATTAAACTCACCGACAAAATGGCCACTCCTTGTACGCAATTGTAAAAGTATATAATTTTTGTCCGATTTGATATTTGCAGATTTCATATATACTATTACTTCCTGGATTATGGCCCCTGATTGTACAAAAAAAATCATAGTTTTTTTAACTTGTTCTCTATCAATCTCTTGCAAAATGTGGGTGTATTTTGATTCACAATGGCTGGTTTCTTTTTTTCGAAAAGTGTGCTGTATAATTTCGAATCGGATAATAGATGCCATTTCTCTTGAATGGGCTTACTAAATTGAACAATAGTGGGATTATAATCCATTATATAAACATTCAACTTCGTTTTGGTGAGGTCAAAATAGTTTTCACTTGGATTTGAAAGCACATATTTTTATAAGGTGTCAGACCAGTAAAGTTTTTGATCTAAACAATGATGGTTAATATATATGAAAACCAAATTTGCTGTTGAATTTCCGAAGTATTTTAGTCTCCGGTATAATGGCTGATGGCAGAACAATTATGTCATGTCTAAAGTTGACAATATTTAACTGAAAAAAATAACATTAGTGTGCTTCATGTCAGTGTTAGTCATACTTACCAATATTGTGTTTCTTTTATAGTGAATTGTGCAAGTATGATTGCTATTTGCAGAGCTATTGAATTTAAGAAATGCGTTATATTTTTTTCCAGAGGTATTTGTCAAAGCTCACCAATAGTATACAATAGTATAAAACCAGTACTAAGAAGTTTAGCTGAATCTTATTTAAAAATATTTGAAATAGCTCGAAAGAAAAGAGAATTTTTTGGCCTGAGAGATTTTTACAGGTGAATATGTTTTAGTGTCATGATAATAATTGAGTCTTCAGAAGTAGGACGGTAATCCCCACTTCAAAATGAAATGTGGTTTAACATCATATTTTTCTTCAGCAACTTAGCTAAAGATTGATTAACACAAGACTTTGCTAAATGTTGATTACATAGTTTGACTGTATTAAGGTGTGACATTGTAATTAATATTGCAGTCTGGTAAAAATGGTTTATTCTTTTGCTGCCAAAAATGAGAAAACTCCCTGTTGGCACCAGTTAGAACATTGTATTCGTAGAAATTTTGGAGGACTAGACACAATTGATGCTGTGAAAGTTTTTGGGGATCATATGAAAAATGTCAGAAAAGATCAAAAAGTAAGTCTGTTTAATATGACATGTTTATGAAACAACTTTACAATATTGCATCAGATTGAACATGCTGATCATTGCTTGACTTTATATCAATTTCTTTTAAAAAATTCAGCCTCACGTTGGAGATCCAAGTTGTACAGCTTTGGGATTGATTGAAGCTGGCCTTTTTGGTGATGGAACTCAAAGGTAAATATTTCTTAATTTATTATTTTGTGTAATAAGCATATATTGATATTTATATGTTTGTTGAATTGTGTGATTAACATCTTTGTCCCCCGCCTTCCGAAGAAAGCAGGGGACTATTAAAATGGGTTTGTCCGTCTTTCAATCCGTCCGTCTGTCTATCTGTCCGTCACACTTTTTGGGACACAATAACTCTCCTTCTAATTGGGCTAGAATGTTCAAACTTGGTGTAGATGTTTATTAGGTCAATGCCTTGATGGAGTTCGAAGATGAGCATTTTCTGCTTAGGGTAAACAGAGATAAGCAATTTGATTGGTTGATCCTTTGGGACACGATAACCATAGTTTTAATTAAGTGAGAGTGAGGAAACTTGGTGTATAGTTTTATCACACCAATACCTTGACTAAGTTTGATAATGAGCACTTTCGGCTCAGGGTAAGCAGTGTGATAAGCAATTTGATAGGCCAAGACTTTGGAACACAATAACACTCCTTCTAATTCAGGTAGAATGTTCAAACTTGGTGTAGGTGTTCATTAGGTGAATGCCTTGATCTAATTCGATGATAAACATTGTCTGCTTATGGTAAGCAGAGATAAGCAATCTTTATTGGTTAATGCTTTTGGGTATGATAAATTTGGTTATAATTAATTAAGTGATGAAACTCCGAGTATAGTTTCATTATATCATTACCTTGACTAAGATCGATGTTGAGAATTTTCTGCTTAGGCTAAGGAGAGAGAGAGAAATGGGGTTTAACATCCACTCGACACAAACTAGGTCATTTCGGGACTAACATATGGTTTAATTTTATTTCAATAATTCACTTGTACGTAGGGGTCTTTAGCAGTGGGAGGAAACCAGAGGACCCGAAGAAAACCCATGAGGTGGGACAAGCGACCCTACTCCTTGTCATGTACAACCAGGGATTCGGAACAACGCCAGTTGACTCAATGACTGGCACATGCTAACCATTCGGCCATCCAAACCCCTGCTTAAGCTAAAGAGAGATAAGCAATTTGATTGGTCAAGACTTTGAAACATAACAACCCTCTTTTTATTTGAGGTAGAATGTTTAAGCTTGATGTAGATGTTCATTAGGTGAATGTCTTGACTGAGGTTCAATGATTAACATTTCGAGCTAAAGCTAAGCAGAGCTAAGCAATTTCATTGGTCAATGCTTTAGGACAAGAAAACTTTGATTCTATCTGATAGAGAGTGATGAAACTTAGTGTATAGTTGATAATCAGTTTGATTGCTTGATACTTCTGAAAGAAATGTGCGATAAATTAAAATGTGTCATCTATTTATTTTGGGATTTCGGTGGGGGACATTAACCTCACTATTGGCTTGTTAGTAAAGATACATTATGGGAGATTAGATAAAGAGCTGGTAGTTCTCACTATAATAGTTAAAACCTAGATAATGTAAAGGGAATTTGCTGAAAATTTCAGTCAAATTGATCCAGCCCGAACCGAGTATTTAGCGATTGAATTTTGGGCCTAGCCTTGATCATCATTACTAAAGTCGGTACAATAAAAAACATAGTCTCGATAATCCCTTTGTTTTTCCATTTAATCAGAAGCAGCAGACTGAGTTCTAATCCATTAAATATCGCAGGCTAGCGATGCCATCAAAAGTTGATTATGGTCTGGATAAGTTAATTAATGTCTAATTGATAATTTAGATAACAGTTCAGGCCTAAAGAAAGACCTGCAATTAGCAGATTTAGCTCTTGCAAATTGTATGTTTAAGTTTATACACTGCAGTGATGGGATTTCTAAATTTTTCTTGTTGGACATTTTACCGAAAATAAAGGGGCATAACTCTTATCGTTATTTAAGCAGACGGATTCATACCACAATTAAAAATTATGTCTCAACAAAATATTCAAATCCCGTACATAATAAAAATAGATGAATCTCGCTATTTTTCATATTTAATTCCCGTACGGCATTCAAATTTATGACAGTCACAATCCTACAAAATAATTCATTTCGTAATACAGTAGAATCTGTATGAGCAGCCACTCCTATTCAGTGACATCTCCTTGTAAGCGGTCACGATAAATTCCCCCCGTAAAAATTCCATTGTTTCATCTTTTTAATCAACGGTCACTCCTCTAACGTGGCCACTGTTGACTGATACCATCTTGTCGTTCTTCGTAACATCCCCGCTAATCCCGTGATTAATAGTTAATTAACTGGACCCCCACTGATCAGGTAAAAATAAATGTGAAAATAACAATAAACCCGTGATTATCTGTTAATTAATCTTTTGTTTTATTAAACGACAAACAGATCATTGTTTTCACATGTAACGAAACATTATTAGATACTGATTGAATAAACTAAAATCACCGACGAAGCTGAGTTTTGTCACAATCATCTGTTTTCGATCGACACTTTGTTGCTAAACAGACGTTTTAGCTCCTCCAATAATATTACATACTGAGTTACACCCCCTGAAAATCTGTGTCAAAATCAGCGATTGATTTTTGTTCATGTGCTTTTTTGATAAAATAAAATTAATTCATGGATTTTCTTCATAAAAATGGATAAATATTATCGAATGCATCACAATGGTAGACAGTAGTATCGATGTTGGTACAAAATGACACGGTCACAGAAGTCATGTGGGAGATTTGAGTCAAATATTTTCGTTCAGCATGTTTCAACGACGACCAAATTTACCGATGCAAATATTGATGTTTCCAATGCATCCAAGCATAATATTTAATTGATGTCAGCACAAAAACACTGAGATTTTATTAAGACCCACTCCCGTTAAGCGGTCAGTCATGAAAATTCCCTTGAGTGGCTGCTTAATACAGATTCTACTGTACATTGAATGAAAGCTTGCCGATCCTGCTTCAGCATCAAATTCACAATAGTAGCCCTAATATTCCTGCAAAATTACGTGTCTTCGTTTTTACGGCAGTAAATGAATGCAGAACTTCCACAATAAGAATCGTTTTCTTCTTTATAAAATGTCAACAAAATATCCAAATCCGCGCGTAATAAAAATAGGAACACCTCGCTATTTTTCATATTTAGTTCCCATATGGTATTCAAATGCCAGTAATATTCCTATAAAATTACGTGTTTTCGTAATACATGTATGATAGATTGAAAGCTTGCCTATCCAGACCTACTTGTAAAAAGGCATAGCTTCCTTTAGCGTATGGCGTACATGACTCATAGCACATAGCTTCATCGTAAGCACTGCCTTGTAAGCAATTTTCGTTCGGCAATCAGGATCGTGGAAAAGTGTCACTGTTGATGAGAATTTCTTTATGGAATCTTAAAAGACGTAAAAGATATCGCAGACAAAATGACTGTCCATTGATTTGGGGTGCTATATACTCTTACGATATGTGATATCTAAGACTAGTTAATACATGCTGTCAGTTGGTACATGCTGTTATTAAAATTTCTGACAAGTCAATGTAGAAACCACGAGGTAAACACGTAGATTAAAATTATATCATTCTTATTGGATTGATGTATAGTCCGACAAAGGGGAAGCAATGACTTCTGTTTAAGATTAGATTGATGAATTGTCCGACAAAGGATTAAGTCAGTCAATCATAGCAGATTAAGTAGTTAATCAAGGTAGGTGTATAGACGGTATAACATGAAAAATACGTTGATCTTTTAATTACCTAATCAATCCAGACTATTTTTAACAATAATCGGGTAGGTGTATAGACGGTATAACACGATAAATACGTTGATCGCTTAATTACCTAATCAATCTAACCTATTATTAACAATAATCGGGTTGAGTGGTAGTTATACACTAGTACACTTTATTAATTTTGGAATTTTGAATATTATTCACCATATATTGATATCCGATTGGGCATATTCCTGGTCGGACATTTTTGGACGTTTAGAAAAAAGCGTCGGACATGTCCGGAATATACAGGCGAAATCCCATCACTGATACACTGTAATAATAAATATTTTACAGTGACAGTCGTTACCTATTACTTCTCACTGAAAATTATGAAGCTTTGGGAATTTTACAAGAACAGATATTAAAGAAACGTAGAGTACAGACAATCTTTGGATCTAGTTTTCCACGAGATCAGGAATACACTCAGGTAAAATATAATTTTTAGTGACTAGTTTCATTATGGCAGCTACCTGCATAATTCTAGAAATAGTGGTAATGTTCAGTTGTTGTGCTAAACTACAGTGAAATTAATTTATTATATGCCCATATGGAAATGTGGACGTATACTCTTCAAAAAAAGTAGGGATATTGAAATGCAAATACCTATGCAGGTTGTGATATGATAAATAGTCATGGACACTTGACATGCTTTGAGAGTATGTTCACAGATGAAGAACTTATCGCCCCAACAAAACCACTGAGCTGTACGCGCGACAAGCAATAGCACCATACATGTGGGAGGGGGCCATTGACAAATTTGACACTTCAAGGAAGGGTTGATGAAAACTGCCACGTTATTATCCGATTGACTTCAAATTTATACACAGTGTTTGAGGTCATGAGACGAAGAATCCTAGTGATTTTCAACAATTTCAGAACATTACTGCCAAAGTTATGGCCCTTGATCACTTTGAAAAATCTTATGGCGCTCTAGAGGCTAAAGTTATCATCTGATTGTCTTCAGATTGATACACAGTTTAATATCTTGAGACGAACAAGTGTATTGATTTTCAATTAATTTTTATGACTTGAACAGCTAAATTCATGATATTAAAAGTTTTGTTTACTAAACCTTAGCATGGTGCAGAACTTTATAAAAACCAGACAAATTCTAATGGTTTTCTGATAATTACTTCATGAGTTGTTTCTCTTTATCAGATTTTAGTGTATTATAAATGTTTCATTACCGAAAAAAGTAAAAATATGCGACAACACTTGTTGACTGCCTGGAAGATTTAGCTGCTGTGGGCGTATGCTTCGTTATCTGGCAACCTATCTTTACATTTGTGTTATCTACAGCAAAAATGTCAATACTGCTTGTTTTCATTTTATTATTTTGAGGAAAAATCCATTATTGTCACAATTTAGTGACTTTCCACAAAAGCAATCAGGCCCTAAGTTCGCAAAGCATTCTCAGACTTAAGTTGAGAATTTACTCAACTTTCAATCACTGTTTATAAGAAATATCTCTGATCCAGAAACACAAAACTTTGCACATAGTTTCTTATTAGGGTATTTGATACATTAAAACAATAACAGTTTTATAATGGGCTATATTTTGGTTACAATAAGGTGAGCAATTTTGAGTAAATTCTTGACTTAAGTCTGAGAATGCTTTGTGAACTTGGGGCCTGATTAAAACACAGATCCTATTTCATTTCATTTTTTATACACCCACATGGAAATGTGGTCGTATATTGCCGTCGCCCCCGTCCGTCCGTCCGTCGTCCACAATTTCTTGTGAACACTGTACAGACTACATTTATCATCTGATTGTTTTGAAATTGATATATGTTGTTTGCATTAGTGAGATGAAGAAGCCTATTTAATTTCATCAATTTCCGTTAATTACATCTAGAGTTATGGCCCTTGTTTCACTTTGTTGAATCTTGTGAACGCTTTAATGACAACAGTTATCATCCGATCTGTTTGAAATTGATATGCATCATTTAAATTAGTGAAACGAAGAAGCCTATTGAATTTGAGCAGTTTCCGTTAATTACGCCGTGAGTTATGGCCCTTATTTCACTTTGTTGTACCTTGTGAATGCTCTAACAACAAAAGTTATTATCCGATCTGTATGAAATTTATATGCATCATTTAGATTAATAAAACAAAGAAGCTTATTGAATTTCAGCAATTTCCGTTAATTACATCTAGAGTTATGGCCCTTGTTTCACTTTGTTGCTTCTTGTGAACGCTCTAACAACAAAAGTTATCAACCGATCTGTATGAAATTTATATGCATCATTTAGATTTGTAAAGAGAAGAAGCCTATTGAATTTCAGCAATTTCCGTTAATTACACCTAGAGTTATGATCCTTGTTTCACTTTGTTGTACCTTGTGAACCTTCTAACACCAAGAGTTCTAATCCGATCTTTTTGAAATTTTTATGCATCATTTAAATTAGTGAAACGAAGAATCCTATTGAATTTCAGCAATTTCCTTTAATTACGCGGTGAGTTATGGCCCTTGTTTCACTTTGTTGTACCTTGTTTATGCTCTAACGACAAAAGTTATTATCCGATCTGTATGAAATTTACATGCATCATTTAGATTAGTAAAACAAAGAAGCTTATTGAATTTCAGCAATTTCTGTAATTACATCTAGAGTTATGGCCCTTGTTTCACTTTGTTGAATCTTTTGAACGCTCTAATGACAACAGTTATCAATCGATCTGTTTGAAATTGATATGCATCATTTAAATTAGTGCAACGAAGATGCCTATTGAATTTCAACAATTTCCGTTAATTACACCTAGAGTTATGATCCTTGTTTCACTTTGTTGTACCTTGTGAATGCTTTAACGACAAAAGTTATTATCCGATCTGTATTGTTTAAATTAGTAAATCGAACTAACCTATTGAGTTTCAGCAAATTTCCGTTAATTACATGTAGAGTTAAGGCCCTTGTTTCACATTGTTGAATCTTGTCAACGCTTGAACGACAAAAGTTATCACCCAATCTGTATGAAATTCATATGCGTCATTTAAATTAGTGAAATGAAGAAGTCTATTGAATGTCAGCAATTTCTGTCAATTACTTCTAGAGTTATGGACCTTGTTTTACATTGTTGAACCTTGTGAACGTTCGAACGACAAAAGTTATCATCCGATCTGTATGAAATTGATATGTATTATTTGAATTAGTAATACGAAAAAGTCTGTCAAATTTCAACAATTTCTGTAGATTACTTCCAGAGTTACAGTCCTTGTTTTAGTTTTTAGAACCTTGTGAACCCTCAAACGACGAAAATTATAACGTCATCGGTATGAAATTGTCTATTAAATGCCACCTAATTACCTGCAAAAGAACAAATATACGACAACTCTTGTTGACCGCTCGGACGATTTAGCTGCTGTGGGCATATGTTTAGTTGCCTGGCAACCTATCTTTATAGTTCAAAATTTCGTTTTACTTGTGTTTACTACACTAGGATCTGGAAGAGTTGGTATCATTTATGTGTTTTGAATGGTGTGATTTATTAGCCAATGAAACGGTCTGTTACGGCGCGCTTTAGGCGTGTTTTGCACGGAACTGTGGTAATCCACTAGTAACATTAATGCTGATTGGTTAATCAAATGTAATCAAATGTCTGACATCATAGGCTCACTTGTTGCTCGTATGACCTCTGACGTGACCTATCGCAACAACCGGTCAGATCTTCATGTAGTGTAGGCCATCGAAAGTATAAAAAAACGAAACGAAATATAGATCTGTATTTTAATCAGATTGATACAAAAGAGATATCTATCATGCTAATAATCCATGTAACTTTATTCCTGCACGTCTTTAATTTTTTAATGGCAAGAAAATATCCAATATTTCATTTATGAAAATAATATGGCAGCCATTTTGAAACCCACTGGTAACCATGAAAGCTAAACTAAAATATGCAAAAATCACAAGTCATATATAACGGATATACATCTGCAATTTTACAGTTGTGGTCGCATTCACATTCAAGGCATGCATGGTTTTTCACAACAGCTTGATTTTTAATCAATATTTGCATAGCCCTCTATGGGTATGAAGTGGTTAGCCCTGGAAGGGTAAAGGCCCTTGTTTGAGTTTGTAGAATCGTGTCTCAAATGATGAAAATTATAATCTGATCTGTTTGAAATTTTCTTGTAAATGCCCCTAATTACCTACAAAAGAATAAATATGCGACAATCCTTGTCGACCGCTTGGACGATTTAGCTGCTGTGGGCGTATGTTTCGTTGCTTGGCAACCTATCTTTAAGACCAGTTGCGCAAGACTGATATACTGGGTATATTTGCCTTGATAGTGCAGCTGTAACTGCATTGAATTCTGCACCATGAGACCAGTGTCAAATAATAGATTATTAGACTGAAATAAAGTTATACTAATATATCTGAATTTTTGAAAGCATGAATTTGGCATCAGTGAAATAAGTACTATATATCAGCACATTAAACTGTATGTATAATTGAAACAGGTGTGTAGGAATATTAATCGTATCAAAGTGTGCATGGAAACCGGAAACACAGTCATTCTACTCAATCTTGAAAACCTTTATGAAAGTCTGTATGATGCCTTGAACCAGGTAATATGCTTTACTAAATTATATAAATCTGTAGAGAGCCGTTTTAGTTTGGACTTGTATTGAGGTCTATAGATGCTCTTTTATCTCAAAAAGTTGTAACCTTGTTAGTTCCTGTAGTCTCTACTGCTGAAGCTCATAAATTTTGACAAGATTCAAGCGTTTTGGTCACCATTTGTAAAAACAGAATTTCAATCGTTGATGACTATAAACTATTGTTAGTATTAGAAATAATAATAAATTTGGTTGTAAATTACTTTTTTGTTCTGACATTTTTGTTATCAATCGATCATTTAAACCTGGACACACTGTTTGTAAAGAAAAGATACTCCTTGCTGCCTCAGCTTTGAAAAAGCAACAAATACCCTTTTTACATATGAAGTATTATCTCACTACTCCTACAGAAAAAAAGGACTGTTTTCAAGAGACTTTTCAAATAGTCCTTCTTTATATGAACTTTAAATATTTTCAGTACTATGCAAAATTTGGAGGTGAGCGTTATGTGGATTTAGGACTTGGATCTCACCGTGTCAAATGCCGTGTCCACAAGAACTTCAGGTAAGCCTGTTTATTATCATTTAAGTAACCATGGGTGTAATGTTTTGATTTATTAGTCTTCTATACAGTGATGGGATTTCAAAATTTTTCTTGTCTGATATTTTTACCGAAAAAAGGGCATAACTCTTGTCATTATTTAAGCAGGCGGTTTCAGACCAGAATTAAAAATCATGTGTCAACAAAATATTCAAATTCGTACCTAATAAAAAAAAACGGGTGCGCCTCATTATTTTTCATATATAATTCCCGTACGGTATTCAAATTTGTGTCAGTAATAGTCCTACAAAATTACGTGTTGTTGTAATACGATAGAATGGAAGCGTGCCGACTACTGTCGACCCGTACTTTTGTTCAAAATCACCTCGAAAATTAACGTATTTTCCGGGGTATAAGTCGATACTTTTTTCAGCAGAAATCCGGCATTCGTCTTATACTATGTTTTAACTTCTATACAGACATCCTGAAATTTTTTTGGCAGTGATCATCGTTCCACGATATCGAGCCAGTGACATCATCTGCTAAATAATAGCACTCGCACGCGCTATCGTGTAAAACAATTAACTACTTACATGTACACTATTCCAATTGAAATATTTGTTGACATTTCTCAGCTTGTTTATTTGTTTTTTTTAAACATAAACCCCATTCAAAATATTATCATAAACCCGAGAATATGCCATCAAAATAGAATCTTTCCTCCGACGTGATAATTGTCACGATTACATCTCTTGTAGTAATTTCACTTGTCTCATGAGATTTCTACTTTAGTTTTCGATTATTGTATTATAACCATGTGTGGGTGTTTGTGTAAAATAGCTTTATTTAACGTCCGCTTCCACGGAAGTGATATCGCAGACAAATTAACGGATATATTTATAAGTTAAAGTGATAATTGTCACGTTTACATCTCTTGTAATTTCACGCGTCTCTTGAATTCTAATTTAGTTTTCGATTATTGTATTATGACCACGTGTGTGTGTGTGTGTGAAATAGTTTTACTTAACGTCCGCTTCCACCGAAGTGATATCGCAGACAAATTAACAAATATATTGATTTACAAGTTAACAGATAATATATTTTGATTTGGGGTGTTATATACTCTTACAATATGTGACATCTATGATTAGTTTATACATTTTGTTGGCTCACATCAATGGGATTAAAATGTTTGACAATGGAGAAACCACGAGGTAAACACGTAGATTAAAATGATAATAACTCTTAATGGATTGATGAATAGTCCGACAAAGGTGAAGCAATGACTTCTGTTTAAGATTAGATTGATGAATTGTCCGACAAAGGATTAAGTCAGTCAATCAAAGCAGATTAAGTAGTTAATCAAGGTAGGTGTATAGACGGTATAACACGATAAATACTTTGATCACTTAATTACCTAATCAATCCAGCCTATTATCAACCATAATCGAGTTGAGTGGTAGTTATACACTCAGTACACTATATTAATTTTGGAATTTTGAATATTATTCACCATGTCTTGATGTCCGATTGGGCATATTCCTGGACGGACAATTTAGGACGTTTGGAAAATAGCGTCTTCTACCAGTTCTAGATGTCATCTTTATTTTCCAGAGTTTTTCTTTAACTTTGAGATATTTGATTCAGGTTTTATATAAAATAGGTAGAAATGGGCGATTCTTCCAGTTATCCCAAGTTTTTTATGTAACTAGCAGGCCTTGAGATCTGAAAATCACACTGGAGTGATAAGATGTGTTCGTCATATCTTTTGCGGGAGCTATTTAACACCGCCAAATGTCTATCTGAGACAATGCTTATTATAACTATAGTTTACATTAAATTTAAATCACTGTTACACCCAAATGATGGTTTAGTTAAAATAAGACTAAAACTCCCAGACAAAATGGCCGCCTCTCGTAAGCAAGTAGTGTAAATATATGGTATATCAAGGTTGTGGACCCTCTAGAGGACACAATTTTGATCCGATTTTGATGAAACATGAAATACATGTTTATAACCCAAAAATCTTGGTTCCTTTCGATATTTACGCATATTGGATCGTAACTTCCTGAATTATGGCCCTTGATTGTACAAAAAAAATCACGTTTTTGACTTGTGGTGCCTCGAGAGGTCACAATTTCTATCCGATTTAAAAAAACGTTTGAATATATCATCGTTACACCCTAATGAAGGTTGAGTTCGAATTTCGTGAAAATTAGACCAAAACTCCTGGACAAAATGACCGCCCCTCGTACTTAAATAGTGTAAATATATGGTATATCAAGGTTGTGGACCCTCTAGAGGCCACAATTTTGATTTAGATTAAACTTTAAATTGATGTATATATAACAAAGATCTTGGTTCCTTTCGATAGTTGCACATATCGAAACGTAACTTCCTGGATTATGGCCCCTGGTTGTTTGAAAAATCGCATTTTTAGCTCGTGGACCCGCTAGAAGTCACAATTGTATTCAATTTTAAAAAAGTTTTAAAATATCACCGTTACACATCAATGAAGGTTGAGTTCAAATTAAGTAAAAATCTGACCCATACTGCCGGACAAAACGGACACTCCTTGTTCGCAAATAGTGTAAAGGTATGTAATACCAAGGTTGTGGACACTCTAGAAGTCACAATTTTTATCCAATTTTGATGAAACTTGAAATGTATGATTATATTCCTGGATTATGGTTCCTGATTGTACGAAAAATCACATTTTTAGCTTGTGGACACTCTGGAGGTCACAATTTTTATCCAGTTTTAAAAGCGTTTAAATGTATCATCCTTACACTCTAATGACGGTTGAGTTTGAAAATAGAACCGAAACTGCCGGACAAAAGGGCCGCTCCTTGTACCCAAATAGTATAAAAGTATGTAATACCAAGGTTGTGGATGTCAGACTCATGAATATTATTAATTAGATTTGTATAGCGCACATGCAGTGAGAGGACGCCTTGGTCCTTGTGTGTCTGTAGATCATTACTTTTATGTATGTAACCATGAAAGGCAGACGTACGTCTGATAGCTAATAAAGAATATATAATTATAGTTAACCTTTACTGAACAGTGGACTCTCTAGAAGTCAGAATTTTTATCCAATTTTGATGAAACTTAAAACAACTTTATATCCCAAATATTTCAGTCCATTTCGATATTCGTGCATTTCAGACCATAACTTCACTTTTTTTTTTTTTAGCTTGTTCTCTATCCATCTTTTGCAAAATTTGGGCGTATCTTGCCTGGCAACCGCTGGTTCAGAATTCTGTTAATTGTTTTAGTGAATTATTTCTATTTCTCATTGTCATTGAAATGTAAATTAAAACTCTGTTTTCCAGAATATTTTTATGTTATACTTTGATTTATTAGATTGAAATTTAATGCACGGTTACTATTGTCAAAATTCAGTTTTACAGAATTTATCTAACGTATTTCTCAGTGTATTAGGCACACTTTTTTTACCAGATATTTTTATTTATAGAAGGGGTGCACCTAATACATAGTTAGGGTGACCCACCATAAATAAATATCTCCAAATATCTCGACAATTACGCCACAATATTTATATATATACCAAGCCTCAAATCAGTTTCACACAATTATAGTCACTAAATAAACGATCATGTTGTACTTAATAAGCTATGACCATTAATCATGTAGAAATAATAGACTGAAAACTGGTTCCAAGTGTCGTCCATAACATCCAGTCATTTTTGAGTACAAGATAGGTTACGTGCCCTTGTTTTGAAATTAGTCTCGCTTAACCAGTCTATCGATCATTCTACGTCTGATTGACAGGTCGGGATAATCAAGACTACTTTTTTACGAAACATAACAGAAAGCTAGAACAAGAAATTGAATTTAGAAAAAAGCACTTTAGACAACTCAACAATTGTTTTAAGAAACTTGTAAAAGTAAAATGAAACTACTGCTAGTATCACGTTCCTGTCTAACCCGAGTGTTTCAGAGATATTATTTGTACTAAACCAAAAGATGCCGCTCTTAACGGTACAGTTAATGATAAAGCAATTTAAAAAATAAAACAAACGTAATTTCTAAAGCTGTTGTAATAACCAAGAAGCTAAATTTTACTGCTATTCAAAATCGTCAACAATAGATTTTTTACGGCTGTAATAGTTGATATATTTGTAGAGAATTGCACGTGCATGGCTATTTATCGACTCAAAGAGAGTGCGGGGTAGTCAGAAATCAGTTCGAGACACGCAACTGAAGCGTGCACATTTAGCCGTGTCGAGACCAACTTTCTGTAGAGTGCACGGGTCATCCTAACATAGTATTAAGCAAATCTAGGCTTTTCCCTCTGTCAAAATCGAAGTCTGAAGTTGATGATGTCGACACGGGCCTGAGTAGACCCTATCATCCCAAATTAGTTTAAAGAAAGAAGTATTGGTATTTTTATACGCCCACATTTTCATGTGGACGTATTATGCCGTCGCCCCTGTCCGTCCGTCCGTCCGTCCACAATTGTTTGTGGACTCTCTACAGGTCACAATTCTTATCCGATTTCGACGAAACTTGAAATATAGGTTTATCCCCAAAAGATCTCGGCTGCTTTCGATATTGGCATGTATCGGATCGAAACTTCATGGATTATGGCCCCTGTTTGTACGAAAAATCACGTTTTTAGCTTGTGGACCCTATAGAGGTCCCAATTTTTATCCGATTTTGTTGAAACTTGAAATGTAAGTTTATAACCCAAAGATCTCAGTTCCTTTCGATATTTGCGCATATCGGACCGTAACTTCCTGAATTATGGCCCCTGATTGTACGAAAAATCACGTTTTTAGCTTGTGGACCCTATAGAAGTCATAATTTTTATCCGATTTAAAAAAACGTTCTATTATATCACCGTTACACCCTAGGGACGGCTCAATTCGAATTTCGTGAAAATCGGCCCAAAATTGACAGACAAAATGGCCGCCGTTCGTTCTCAAATAGCGTAAGAAAATGGTATATCAAGGTAGTGGACCCTATAGAGGTCACAATTTTTATCCGATTTTGTTAAAACTTGAAATGTAAGTCTATAACCCAAAGATCTCGGTTCCTTTCGATATTCGCGCATATCGGACCGTAATTTCCTGAATTATGGCCCTGATTGTAGGAAAAATCACTTTCTTGCTCGCTTGTTCTCTCTCCATCTCTCGAAAATGTGGGCGTATCCTGCCTGGCAGCCGCTGGTGTTTATTTATATTTAAAAATTGTGTAGGTCTATTCATTTTACAGTTCTACGGTCTTTAAATTTGTATATTTGCCGTAAATAGAGCTTTGCTCGGAAGCTAGTTTTTCCACCACTCAGCAAATCCTGGCTACATCCCTGTCCATATACCATAAACGACAGTGTTAACACAATGAACTTTTATTGTTTCCTGAAACACCTCTGCCAAAGTCGCCCTGCGCCTTATCTGCGCCTAGTTCACTAAAAAATACAGTAGTTGTGTTGATCCACAAAAATGTATTGTAGTATCTGCCTCTTAAATTTGTATATTTGCCGTAAATAGAGCTTCGCTCGGAAGCTAGTTTTTCCACCACTCAGCAAATCCTGGCTACATCCCTGTCCATATACCATAAACGACAGTGTTAACACAATGAACTTTTATTGTTTCCTGAAACACCTCTGCCAAAGTCGCCCTGCGCCTTATCTGCGCCTAGTTCACTAAAAAATACAGTAGTTGTGTTGATCCACAAAAATGTATTGTAGTATCTGCCTCTTATAGATGAATTGTAAATTTGTAATGGTCATAAGGGGACATGCATTGCCTCTGCGATAATCTCAAAATGTTGGTTTAAATCAAAGTTTTAACTTTGGAAAAGGTAGTTTGTTGTGTTGTTTTCAAAAAGGGTGTCTTTTTCAGGCTAATTGTTGTTGCAGAAAAGACTGTTGTTTATAATAAATTTCCAATTCCATTGATAAATCGTCTAGAAAAACATTTCTTAACCCTAAATAATATAATGTCTGACGATCAAGCTGAGATGGCAAAACAATTGAAGAACTGGGCTGAAAAAATGGTTACAAAAGCAAATTGTATGAGGTATGTATTTTTTCTGTCAAATATAATGAAATCCAACTGGATTCTCATCAAAATATGAAAGAAAAGGTCTGACAATTATGGTAATTACATTAAAATACCTTGAAATGTTGCCATGAGAGTAGGCTACCATAGAGATAAGATATGTATATAAATTCTCTTTTATGTTTCTAGTATTACTGATCCCGAGTGTCAAGTTTTTGATTTGGCTGAGTATATTATTTTTCAGGATTCATACGACGGCAGGTATCAATACAAACGTTGCGAAGGTTTGACGAAACACGATTATCGCGGTGTAGCAGTCGCTATCGTGTGACACAATAGGCCTCGGTGTAATTTTACACGCAAAATTAACAGCATTTATTTGTCATAAACAATCGATGTCAAAACGATATACTGCCACGATGTTATGAATGTTGAATATTTTCCTTAATAATACGGACACGTTAGTCCACGTTGTATAGTGAAAACATGCGTATTCACATATTCTGCACGATATATATGCGGTTGTATTTCCAACTAGTCATGTAAAGCTACATGTCTAGAACATTTTAAAGGACACGTATGCATAGGACTATACATGTATTACACTGTGTTCAAATTGTTTTGCATATTTACTGTATTAAGAGTGTATATAGTTAAGAATTACGGCAAAGATAGACTTTACTAATCATTTTGTCTAAAATCATAACGCTAATCAGCAAACAATACTATTGTTCTATATTACAAAAACATCGGAGAACTAATCTCTGTCGTTATGGCGAGCCAAGCTAGTTGATTATTAGGTAAATAAAACAATATAAACAACCAAGGAATAAAACTGATTTATTCCAATCAATTTATTTACGAGTCAAGAGTATTACCTTAACCGTGTACGAGTTTGCTTCTGAACGGGTTTGACACTCGTTCAACTTGTAAATTCCAAATACAAACTGCTTACCGTTTTCATGCCATAGACACTAATATCCTAATTAAAAAAAACCGTTCCATTTCCAATAATTATCACAGACACAAATATTAATTTTGATTGTTTTATCCATCAACACACAGACAGTGCTGGATTAACCATAAGGCAAATAAGGCACGTGCCTTAGGGCCAGGCAAAAATCAAGGCAACAAAATAATTAAGTAAAACTTTTTTGATATCAGGTGGTGACAAAAATGCTTGCCTTCAACAATGGGTCAAAAATGTCTTGGTATACTGGCACTTCTCTGCATTGAAAGTGATTTACTTCATAAAATTGACTTTAAAAAAACTGACGAATTTGCAGTCACAAAAGCACCCAAAGTTGTAATCTAGCTAGGCAGTGAATGGGAATATGTAGGCTACTTATAGTAAATACATAACTGTCAATGTTCTGAATTTGTTTGTAATAAATTTTCTGTTGCTAAATTTAACTTAATTCCTTTTGTCAATGAGCCCAACATATCTGTATTTTCAGGCCACCTATCAAAATGTGCCTTAGGGCCAGAGCACACAGAGTAAACACATCTAACAACCAGATCTTATGAATTCGAGCTTCTTCAATAGTTCTAAAGCACATCAAAAAGTGTAGAATAAATTGCCTAAGAGAAAAATCATGCTTTATAAGTTGTTATGAATTCGAGCTTCTTCAATAGTTATAAAGCACATCAAAAAGTGTAGAATAAATTGCCTAAGAGAAAAATCATGCTTTATAAGTTGTTAAAGGGGCGTGGGGCTATTTAAGGAATGACGTTTGTGCACAATACAAAGAAATAATTATCACCGGTGTAAGGAATATTTTTGACAGAATATGTCAACTGCAAATATGACTAAACATCAGTTTGTTCAGAAGACGCTCTGCATGCGCGAACTTTCAAGTCTGTACCGATTTAAAAAAGATAAACAATCCCACATATCCACATTCCTAAAAACAGGAGTTTTACCGTAACTAAGTAATCACAATTACTGTTACAAATTGGTATTAGGTTAGTCATATTGTAAGTGTAACTGTATTTTCTTTATTTTGACATTCTGCTAATTGAGAAACCATTTGAGTAATAAATACAGGTTATTGAATGGACTGAAGCTACATGTAAAATCACAAATACATCAACATCTCTTTTCAAAATTTGTAATTATTACTACTGACAATTAACAATAAAAGTCATATTGTTGTTAAAGGGGCGTCTTCAATCGGTTTCTTTTGATCTTACGTGTCAATTCTCATTATGGAATTTTGATTGACAGTATGCATCCACCAGACTCTTTGGTGCCGAAATGAAAAAGTCAGCAAGGTATTATCGGACTAATACGTGTCCATGGTATTCAGCAATCGTTCAAGCAAAAATGAACCAAGAATGTTTTACAATCAACAATGCTAATTGTTAGCCATTTTCTAGCATTTCTTCCAAGTTGAAACTTCCAAGTAGGTAAATGCCTTGATGGAGTTCTATGATAAACATTGTCTGACCATAACTTCATGGATTATGGGCCCTGATTGTACGAAAAATCGCACGTTGAGCTTGTGGACACTCTAGAGGTCACAATTTGTATCCGATTTAAAAAAAATTGTTGAGTTCAAATTTCGTGAAAATCGGACAAAAGCTGATGGACAATATGGCCGTCCCTTGTACGCAAATAGTGTAAAAATATGGTATGTCAAGGTTGTGGACCCTCTAGAGGCCACAGTTTTTATCCGATTTGGATGAAACTTTAAATATATGTTTTTATCATAAAGATCTTGGTTACTTTTGATAATCACACATATCTGCATGTAATTTCCTGGATTATGGCCCCTGATTGGTCGAAAAATTGCATTTATAGCTTGTGGATTCTCTAGAGGTCACAATTTCTTTTCCGATTTTAAAAAACATTTAGATATATCACCATACCACCATAATGAAGGTTGATTTGTAATTTCGGGAAAATCGAAATGAAACTGCCTGACAAAATGGACGCTCTTTGTACGCAAATTGTGTATAAGTATGTAATACAAAGGTTATGGATTTTTATCCGATGTTGATGAAACTTAAAACTGGGCCCTGTTTCTCGAAATCTTAACTAACGATAAAATCCAAATTTTAGTAGATACTTCAATTTTGATTGGCTAAGCACTAAAATCAATCTAATATTATCCAATCGAATTACTAAAATTTGGATTTTATCTTGTTAAAATTTCGTGAAATAGGTCCCTGATCTTTATATTCCAAAAATCTCAGTCCCTTTTGATATTTACGCATTTCGGACCATAACTTTTATACGTCCAGCCCTGTGTGTGTGTGTCTGTGTGTCGCCTACAATTCTTAAAGATGGGTTCCCGCGTACAAACTGGGTGATTTAATGGTATATATGGACTAAAATCATATTCAAACTAATTAATTTGTCATAATTTTGCTTCAAATCCTTCTCAAACATTGTAATTGCGAAGGAATGTCCTGCTAAAAAAATTTGATCAAACCAGGTCATGTTTACTTCACGGGACTTACCTCTCTTAGAAGTCAGAGGAGAATTCATTGCATACATAAGACAATGTTGTCTTAAATCACTTACTATTTATTACAAATATCTAATCCTAATTAAATTCTCGGATTATCCACTACCCGCGTCTTTTTCCGTCATTTTTATACGCCCACATTGAAATGTGGACGTATAGTTGTCGCCCCCATATGTCCGTCCGTCGATCGGTTCGGCATCCACAATTGCTTGTGGACACTCTATACGCTAAAGTTAATATCCGATTGACTTTAAATTTATACACAGTGTTTATAAGGTCATGAGACGAAGAAGCCTATTGATTTTCAGCGATTACCAATAATTACTGCCAGAGTTATGGCCCTTGATCATTTCAAACAATCTTGTGGACGCTCTAAAGGCCAATGTTAATATCCGATTGACTTTAAATTTATACACAGTGTTTAAGGTCATGAGACGAAGAAGCCTACTTATTTTCAGCAATTTACGATAATTACTGCCAGAGTTGTGGCCCTTGATCACTTTGAAAAAATTTGTGGACGCTCTAGAGGCCAAAGTTAATATCCGATTGACATTAAATTTATACACAGTGTTTAAGGTCATGAGACGAAGAAACCTATTGATTTTCAACGATTTCCGATAATTACTGCCAGAATTATGGCCCTTAATCAATGCCAGAGTTGTGGCCCTTGATCACTTTGAAAAAATTTGTGGACGCTCTACGCTATTTGAGAACGAACGGCGGTCATTTTGTCTGTCAATTTTCACAAAATTCAAACTCAACTGTCCTTAGGGTGGAACGGTAATATAATAATACGGTTTTTTAAATCGGATAAAAATTATGACCTCTAATGGGTCCACAAGCTAAAAACATGATTTTTCGTACAATCAGGGGCCATAATTCAGGAAGTTACGGTCCGATATGGGCGCCGTTCGTTCTCAAATAGCGTAAAAATATGAATATCAAGGTTGTGGACCCTATAGAGGTCACAATTTTTATCCGATTTTGTTGAAACTTGAAATGTAAGTTTATAACAAAAAGATCTCAGTTCCTTTCGATATATGCGCATATCGAATTGTAATTTCCTGAATTATGGCCCTTGATTGTAGGAAAAATCACTTATATCAAGGTTGTGGACCCTATAGAGGTCACAATTTTTATCCGATTTTGTTGAAACTTGAAATGTAAGTTTATAACACAAAGATCTCAGTTCCTTTCGATATATGCGCATATCGAATTGTAATTTCCTGAATTTTGGCCCTTGATTGTAGGAAAAATCACTTTCTTGTTCGCTTGTTCTCTATCCATCTCTCGAAAATGTGGGCGTATCCTGCCTGGCAGCCGCTGGTTCTTCAAATTTTGGCGGCCATTTTTGAAATCAGGCAAACCCCAAACAAAAATGACGTCATTGCTGGCCTGAAATGATTTGTAAAAAAATGTCTTATTGTGACACCCCTTGTTATATATATATCAATGAATAGGCAGCCATTTTGGAAAAGATGGCCGTAACGACCACCAGGGGGAGCTGCTGAGGTGGATCCACATCCCAAAATAATCAGTAGGGTTGGTGCCATCTATATGCCAAGTTTCATGCTTTTAACCCAAAATGCACGATTCTACCAAAAATTCTTCCTTAACCGCCCCACTATTAAGGTCATGAGACAAAGAAGCCTATTGATTTTCAGCGATTTCCGATAATTACTGCCAGAGTTATGGCCCTTGATCACTTTGAAAAATCTTGTGGAAGCTGTAGAGGCTAAAATTAATACCTGATTGACTTTAAATTTATCCACAGTGTTTGAGGTCATGAGATGAAGAAACATATTGATTTTCAACGATTTCGGATAACTACTGCCAAAGTTATAGCCCTTGATCACTTTAAAAAATCTTGTGACGCTCTAGAGGCTAAAGTTATCATCCGATTGACTTCAGATTGGTACACAGAGTTTAAGGTCTTGAGACGAACAAGTATATTGATTTTCAATGAATCTTTATGACTTGAACAGCTAAATCCATGATGTTAAAAGTTTTGTATACCGGTACTAAACATTAGCATGGGACAGAACTTTATAAAAACCAAACAAATTCTAATGGTTTTCTGATAATTAATTAGTGAGTTGTTACTCTTAATCAGATTTTAATGTATTATAAATGCTTCATTACCGAAAAAGTAAAAATATGCAACAACTCTTGTTGACTGCCCGGACAATATAGCTGCTGTGGGTGTATGTTTTGTTGCCTGGCAACCTATCTTTTTGCATGCCCGACCCCCAGGGGCAGAGCCACGCACGTTTTTTGTATTTGTTTGTCTACAGGCTGCATTTCTTAACATATCATCTTGAAACTTTGCATACTTATTCTTTGTGCCCTAAGAAACTTCCCTATAGTTTGGGGTGCATGCCCAATCCCCAGGGGCAGAGCCGCGCCCATTTTCTTTTTGTGTGCCGCCTACAGGCCACAATTCTTAATTGATCGTCTTGAAAATTTTTCTTATGAATTCCTTATACCCTAAGGATTATCCCTATTGTTTTTGGTGCATGCCCGACCCCCGGTGGCAGAACCACACCCATTTCTTGTATTTATTTGTTTGTCATATACAGACCGCATTTCTTAACGTATAACCTTGAAACTTTGCATACTTATTCTTTCTATCCTAAGGAACATCCCTATTGTTTGTTGGGAATGCCCACCTCCCAGGGGCAGAGCCACGCTCATTTTCTTTTTGTGTGTCTGTGTGTCACTTACAGCCTGCAATTCTTAATCGCTCGTCTTGAAAACTTTTTTATACTTATTCCTTATACCCCTATGACTGACCTCTATTTTTTTGGGTGCATGCCCGACCCCCTGGGACAGAGCCAACCCAATGTTTGTGTGTCTTGTGTTTTGCCTACAGGCCGTAATTCTTAACAGATCGTTTTGAAACTTCACATACCTATTCCTTATTCCCTAAGGATGACCCCTATTGTTTTTGGTGATTGCCCAACCCCCAGGGGCAGAGGCACACCCATTTTTTCTTCATGTTTCTGTGTGTTGCCTACACGCCACGGTTCTTAATGGGTCCACTTTGAACTTGGGATATGTATTCCTTATAGCCTAAGGACAACAACTGCATGTCCAGACCCCCAGGGGAAGAACCACGTCCAATTTTTGTGTTTATCGTTTACAGGCCGCAATTCTAAATGGATCAACTTGGTACTTGGCATATGTATTCCTTATAGCCTAAGGGCATCAACAATTGATTTTGGTGAATGCCCCGACCCCTGGGGCCATGTCAGACACACTTTTTTGTTAATATTTTGTCTGTAAATTTGGCAAAACAAACCCAATGCCTAGCCTTCGTTGCCTCATGTCATATTACAGCCATTTGATATTTCATTTTAAAAAGTACCATATCAATCAAAGCAGGAATCTGGACGTATATTGCAGCGTTAGCCATGCTCTTATGTTTTTAGCTTGTTCTCTATCCATCTCGTGCAAAATGTGGGCGTATCCTGTCTGGCAGCCACTGTTTTTATACATTTCGCCGATATGGTTACTTGTATAGGTTAATTTTTTTCCGTCAATATTCTTATATTCATATTTCATGTGGCATATAGCAGATCATGACTCGTACTAGTTTTATGCAATGTTTTGGGGATGTATTCCTCATTGTTTTCAATTTTGAGTGAAGTCTGTATCACTACAGGCCCGGGAGTGTACAGAGCAGTGGACGCTTTCGGCTAGCCCCCGGATCCATTCGTTTAATCTGATATGTTGGGTTGTTTGTGATTTCTGCGTATTGTGTCTTGTCCGTAGATTTGTTTTGTGTAATTGTGTGTGGTGCAGCCCTTCTGCACTTAGTATTATCTGATTGATAATAAACATACATTAACTTACTCTCTCTACAGTTACCATTCAGATCAAATTGTTGGTTGGCTAGTAGTCAAGACTCTTGGGTCGATATTTTCACAGAACAATTCACTTTTTAACAAAAGCATGAAAATTGAATCTAATCTCTGTATATGAATATGAAGGAGGCCAAGCTTATAGAACTCCAGTATACATTCCATGAACATTTGTATCCACTCTGGTTGTTATTACCTCTGTATTAGTTCAGAGTAATATATAAAAGCATCACAAGTAAAAATGAATAGTTGAAGTTGACATACAGCTAATTACAAAAAATTGAATTGTGTGTTTTCAGTAACTAAACTTGAAAATATGTGACCTGTGCTGGCAAATTGAGTTGCAATGAGGAAATTATGAAAATTGAGTTATTGTCATTTTCACATTCTCCACCTCAATACCTTCAAAATGATGTATAGTTGGTATGAATTGACTGAACTATATCTGTTTGAAGTTGCCCAAGTCAGAAAAGGTAGATTTGAGAAAAAGCAAGTGAAAGATTTCTTAATTTTAGACATTACATAAGGAGATTGAGCTGTCGTCCCACTGCATGCGTTGAAAAACATCTAATTTTGCTAAGAATTTTAAGAAAAAAGAAAGATTTGAAAATACGGTACTCTGACAAAGTGTCCAAATAAAGGTGTTTTAAAATGTTTTATTGGTATTTTGATCTTTTGGGTCGATAGATAGTATATATATATAGAGAGAGAGAGGCTTATTTTTGTGAAAATCTCAATTTCGATTAAAATCAATATTTTCACTTGCTCATTATTAGTCTTTGCACATTCCGACTCATTTTTCTAGCACGGGTCTGGCGAATTCAGTGGGAGCTAATACATAGATTTCAACACTTAGATTATTCTTTTATAATATCGTAAAGCTGAAATAGCCCAAATCCCATATATATGAGGTGCCCGTTTTGACATCACAATATGGTAGTGAAAATGAGGTCAGATCGCATGTGACCCACTATTATTCGGAAGAGGAGATCAAAAACTACCTGTATGCCAATTTGCATGCTTTTGTCAAAAGTGAATGATTTTTTTACCTAAGCGCCCTGACTATATATTGTTAAAAGTAGATCCAAAGTTGTTCCCCATGACTTAACACAATTGTTAATGAACTTAAATTATCATACTCATACTTACTCTACAGAATTAATGGCTTGCTTATTTGAGAAAAGTACTTCCAGAGTTATTGCTCCTGACTTATGATTGTTGATTAAAATGTAAATAACCTTTTGTACTCAATCTAAAGAGTGTACTCACTCTTGACCAGTTTTGGATCATTATTATTTACAGTATAGCTACCAATCTCCAAACATTGTGTACATTGAAAAGATGGGGGGTAAAATCGTGAGATGAATATGGTCTTATTACAGCACAAAGGAAACTGCTGTTAGTTAGGTTATGTTGCCTTGCCTGGCAACCTATTTTATTCCAAATACATGTATAACAAAAAATAATGTTGTATGCTCTTTCATAGTTACGCTGGTAAACAACATAAAGTAAGTGTTGAAGATGCTTTTATGGGTTATCATTCTGATGCTGCTGCTGCTATTGTGATGAAAGTTTGGACAGATGATGCTACAGAAGGAATGGTATGCAGACCACTTTATAGTTCCCATATAATTTCACCAGAGTTAATAAAAACAGTCTTCCCAAAGGTCAAAATTCTGAAAATGATAGTTGATAGACACTAATAGAAAAGAAAATTGTATATGTTGGCACTTTGAGTATAAATTCATTATATTAATACCTTGACTTAGTTTGATGATGATAATTTTTGTCCCCCGCCTTTCGAAAAAAAAAAAGCCGGAATTAAAATGAGTTCATCTGTCTGTCTGTAGGGGGCGTTGGATGGATGAATGGTTAGCATGTGTGTGCTGTATCATAAGGTCTGTCATTGAGTCAACTGACATGGTTTCGATTTTCCGGTTGCACGTGGCAAGGAGTAGGGTCACCTGTCCAACCTCGTGGTTTTTCTCCAGGTCCTCTGGTTTCCTCCCACTGCTTAAGACCCCAACGCGCATGCAAATTAATGAAATAAAATTGAACCATATGTTAGTTCTGAAATGACCTAGTTTGTGTGGAGTGGACGTCAAACCCATCTCTCTCTCTCTCTCCCTCAAATAAAAGATTTCTGAAAATTTTACCTCTTTAGTTGTTTACTGGTTAAGCACTCTAATTAAAATTAGATCAACATATTTCAGTTGTTTTACCTCACATGCGGGGGTGGATGGCTGAATGGTTAGCGTGTGCGCGCTGTATCATAAAGTCTGTCATTGAGTCGACTGGCGTGGTTTCGAATCCCCGGTTGTACGTGACAAGGAGTCGGGTCGCCTGTCCAACCTCGTGGGTTTTCTCCGGGTCCTCCAGTTTCCTCACACTGCTAATAACCCCTATGTGCAAGAGAATTATTGAAATAAAATTAAACCATATGTTAGTCCCGAAATGACCTAGTTTGTGTCGAGTGGACGTTAAACCCCATTTCTCTCTCTCTCTTTACCTCACATCATCTTAATGAAGTGAGCCAAATACATGGTGCAAAAATAACTTATATTTTAAATTAGAATGCTTCGTGTTATAATTTTTATAAGTCAACATTTTCATGTGGACAACATATATTATTGTTGCCTCTGTCCTTCCGGACATCCGTTAACATTTGTTTATATCCCAGATCTCGATATTTGCACATATTTGGAACATTACTTCCTGGATTATGGCCCCTGATTGTATGAAAAAAATCGCTTATATCTCTGTCTATCTCTTGGAAAATGTGGGTGAATCTTACATGGCAACAGCATGTTAATAAAAAAAATCCTATACAGAGCAAATGAGTATTGCAAAGATTATTACGTTTAATGCTTTTATTCTTCAGAAATTCATTGAGTGCAAGAAAGCATTACTATGGTGTTGTACTCCAGAAATAATAGTACAGATTGAAAACAGTCAACTATCGGCAGAGAAGGAGTTTTTAGTTAATAATTACTTTGAACAACAACAACATACAGATATATTTGCATATCTAAATATAAACCTTACAAATAGAAAAACACCTCTGTTTGCTCAGGTTTGTCTGAAAAGTCTTAATTTGTCCAGTTAGCATCATGGTTTTCTTTTAATGGGTTCAACAGACCATGTGGCTTATGCCATACCCTGGTAGATAAGTTGTTTAGGTTGTGCTTATTTACATTTATTCCAAATGTGAGTAAAATAAAGTTGCTTTAGGTAAATGTAGAGATTTTCTCATAGTTCATAGATGTAGAGATATGCTAAACCAATCTACTGGTGAGCGCATACGCACTCTTGGCCTCTTATCATTCCACTACTGGTTAAACTGGAGACGAATATATAGGTTTCCACTCTGGTAAACAGTCCATTTTAAATAGTTTACTGAAGTGTTTACTGTAGTTTTTCAAGATATTAAGCTAAAATTGGTTCATTACGTTGTTGATACTATTGGATTATGAATAAGACATAAAAACTACTAAAGTCGGTACAATAAAAAACATAGTCTCGATTATCCATTTTTATACGCCCACATTGAAATGTGGTTGTATATTGTCGTCGCCCCCATCCATCGGTCCGGCATCCACAATTGCTTTTGGACGCTCTAGAGGCTAAAGTTAATATCCGATTGACTTTAAATTTATACATAGTGTTTAAGGTCATGAGACAAAGAAGCCTATTGATTTTCATCAATTTTCGATATTTACTGCCCTTGATCACTTCAAAAAATCTTGTGGACGCTCTAGAGGTCAAAGTTATTATCCGATTGACTTTAAATTTATACACAGTGTTTAAGGTCATGAGATGAAGAAGCCTATCGATTTTCAGCAATTTCCAATAAATACTGCCAGATTTATGGCCCTTGATCACTTTGAAAAGTATTTTTGGACGCTCTAGAGGCTAAAGTTAATATCCGATTGACTTTAAATTTATACACGGTGTTTAAGGTCATGAGACGAAGAAGCCTATTGATTTTCAGAAATTTCCGATAATTACTGCCCTTATCACTTCAAAATATTTTATGGATGCTCTAGAGGACAAAGTTAATATACGATTGACTTTAAATTTATACAGTGTTTAAGGTCTTGAGACAAACAAGTATATTGATTTTCAATGAATTTTGATCACCGAAAGAAAGTAAAAATATGCGACAACTCTTGTTGACTGCCCGGATGATTTAGCTGCTGTGGGCGTATGTTTTGTTGCCTGGCAACATATCTTTCAGATAACTAGTATCATTATGTATAACAATCGTTGTGAAAATAAATCGGATAGATTTCGAATTGACAGTTTTTACGTATTTTTAAAACAGGTTTCAAAGTGTGTTGGTTCTGTTATGCAAGATCATTTTCGACATACCAAAGTAAAAGTTTGGTCCTAAGACCCCTTAAAGATAAATTTTATATGTTCCTATTATTAATTAGAACAGGTTTCGCTTTAGTTTTTATACGCCCACATTTTCATTTGGACGTATATTGCCGTCGCCCCTGTCCATCCAGACAGCTGTCCATCCGTCCACAATTGTTTGTGGACACTCTACAGGTCACAATTCTTATCCAATTTTGACGAAACTTGAAATATAGGCTTATCTTCAAAAGATCTGGATTGCTTTCGATATTGGTATGTATCTGACTGAAACATCATGGATTGTGGCCCCTGATTGTAAGAAAAGTCACGTTTTTAGCTTGTGGACCCTATAGAGGTCACAATTTTTATCCGATTTTGTTGAAACTTGAAATTTTAGTTTATAACCCTAAGATCTCGGTACCTTTCGATATTTGCGCATATCGGATCGTAACTTCCTGAATCATAGCCCCTGATTGTACGAAATATCATGTTTTTAGCTTGTGGACCCTATAGAGATCATAATTTTTCTCCTATTTAAAAAACCATTTTAGTATATCACAGTTACACCCTTGAGTTCGAATTTCGTGAAAATCGTCCCAAAACTGACAGACAAAATGGCTGTCCCTCGTTCTCGAATAGCGTAAAAATATGGTATATCAAGGTTGTAGACCCTCTAGGGGTAACAATTTTCTTCTGATTTTGATGAAACTTGAAATGTAAGTTTATAATCCAAAGATCTTGGTGCCTTTCGATATTCGCTCATATTGGACCGTAACTTCCTGAATTATGACCCCTGATTGTATGAAAAATCGCATTTTTAGCTTGTGGACCCTATAGGCGACCAAAAACTGACAGACAAAATGGCCGTCGCTCGTACTCAAAAAGCATAAAAAATATGGTATATCAAGGTTGTGGACCCTCTAGAGGTCACAATTTTCTTCTGATTTTGATAAAACTTAATATGTAGGTTTATGACCCAATGGTCTTGGTTCCTTTCAATATTCGTGCATATTGGACCATAACTTCCTGAATTATGGCCCCTGATTGTATGGAAAATTGTGTTTTTATCTTGTTCTCTATCCATCTCTTGCAAAGGTGAATTTAGCAAGTTTACATTTTTATACGCCCACATTGAAATGTGGTCGTATATTGTTGTCGCCCCCGTCCGTCCATCGGTCCGGCGTTCACAATTGCTTGTGGACACTCTATAGGCTAAAGTTAATATCCAATTGACTTTAAATTTATACCCAATGTTTAGGGTTATGAGACGAAGAATCTTATTGATTTTCAGCGATGTTCGATAATTATTGTCGGAGTTATGGCCCTTGATCACTTCAAAAAATCTTGTGGACGCTTTAGAGGTCAAAGTTAATATTTGATTGACTTTAAATTTATACACTGGGTATAAGGTCATGAGTCAAAGTAGCCTATTGATGACCCTTGATCACTTTGAAAAATCTTGTGAATGCTCTAGAGGCTAAAGTTAATATCTGATTGACTTTAAATGTATACACAGTGTTTAAGGTCATGAGACGAAGAAGCCTATTGATTTTTAGCGATTTCCGATAATTACTGCCAGAGTTATGGCCCTTGATCACTTTGAAAATACTTGTGGACGCTCTAGAGGCTAAAGTTAATATCCGATTGACTTTAAATTTATACACAGTGTTGACGACCATGAGATGAAGAAGCCTAGTGATTTTCAGCGATTTCCGATAATTTTTGCCAGAGTTATGGCCCTTGATAACTTTGAAAAATCTTGTGGACGTTCTAGAGGCTAAAGTTAATATCCGATTGACTTTAAATTTATACACAGTGTTTAAGATCTTGAGACGAACAAGTATATTGATTTTTAAGAATCTTTATGACTTGAACAGCTAAATCCATGATGTTAAAAATTTTGTATACTAAACGTTAGCATCGGGCAGAACTTTATAAAAACCAAACAAATTCTAATGGTTTTCTGATAATTACTTAATGAGTTGTTACTCTTAATCAGATTTTAATGTATTATAAATGATTCATTACCGAAAAAAGTAAAAATATGTGACAACTCTTGTTGACTGCCCGGACGATATAGCTGCTGTGAGCGTATGTTTCGTTGCCTGGCAACCTATCTTTATTGAAAGTGTGATTACTTTCGATCATTTTCAGCTTCTTTTCAGAATACAAGAATGACTGCACATTCACTTTCAGTGCAAATGAACTCAGTTTGATTTTTGGCCCCGAATATCTAGAAAATGCCCCAAGGGGGGACTGATTACCACTTGGCATCGTATTCTACGCAAAATATACTCTAGAAAAGTTGGGTCTGGTTTTGTGCCCATTTGATGGACACCCCCCCACCCCCACTGCACTGAGCATCCGGTCTAGTTAGCATGGGGCAGATGCTTTGGGACACAATAACTTTAGTTTTGATTAAGTGAGAGTGATCAAACTTGGTGTGTAGTTTCATTACATCAATACATTGAGTAAGTTTGTTAATGAACATTTTCTGCTCAGGGTAAGCAGAGCAATAAGCAATTTAATTGGTCAAGACTTTGGGACTCAATAACTCTCCTTCTAATTGAGCTAGAATGTTCAAACTTGGTGTAGGTGTTTATTAGGTTGATGCCTTGATGGAGTTCGAGGATGAGCATTTTCTGCTTAGGGTAAGCAGAGATAAGCAATTTGATTGGTTGATGCCAATGATGCTTTGGGACACAAAAACTTTAGTTCTGATTAAGTGAGAGTGATGAAACTTGGTGTATAGTGAACATTTTCTGCTGAGGGTAAGCAGAGCGATAAGCAGTTTGATTGGTCGAGACTTTGAAACACAATGCCTCTCCTAATTGAGGTAGAATGTTCAGACTTGGTTATGATTAAGTGAGAGCTTAGGCTAAGGAGCGATAAGAAATTTGATTGGTCAAGACTTTGGGACATAACAACTCTGCTTTTAATTGAGGTAGAATGTTTAAACTTGATGTTAATGTTATTTTGGTGAATGTCTTGACTGAGTTCAATGATTAACATTTCCCGCTAAAGCTAAGCAGAGCCAAGCAATTTCTTTAACTTTGATTCTATCTGATAGAGAGTGATGAAACTTAGTGTATAGTTGATAATCAGTTTGATTGCTCGATACTTTTGAAAAAGGTAAACGTGCAATTAATTAATATGTGTCATTTATTTATTTCGGGATTTCAGCGGGGGACATCAGCCTCACTGTTGGCTTAGCCCAAGTAGTTATAAGCAATTTGATTTGTCAAGTTTTTGAAACATATCAATTCTGGTTTTAATTGAGGTAGAATGTTTAAACTTGGTGTAGGTGTTAATTAGGTGAATGTCGTGACTAGTTCAGTGATTAATGTTTCGCACTAAAGCTAAGTAGAGTTAAGAAATTTCATTGGTCTATGCTTCAGGACAAGAAAACTTTGATTCTAACTGATGGAGAGTGATAAAACGTAATGTATAGTACTTCAAAATCTGGACCGAGTTTAATCGTGAACATTTATGCTTTATATAGACTAAGAATAGATAATCAGTTTGATTGCTCAATACTTTTGAAAGAGATAAGTGTGCAATTAATCAATATTTGTCATCTATTTATTTTGGGATTTTGATGGGAGACATCAGCCTTACTGTTGGCTTGCTCATTATTCAGATCACTACTCATTCCACATTACTAACAGAAGATGAACGAAGAGGTTTTAATCATGATATTTGTCTACTTCATTTACAATCCTTTGATACAGAGCAACAGTTTTGTAAAGAATTAAGGTATTTCATTTTTAAAATTTAACACTTGTTCTATTTTTTGGGGGGGTGGGGGGGGGAGATGACCAAATGGTTAGTGTGTGTACGTTGTATCATAAGGTCTGTCATTGAGTCAACTGGCGTGGTTTTGATTCCCTGATGTATGTGGCAAGGAGTAAGGTCGGCTGTCCAACCTCGTGGGGTTTCTCCGGGTCCTCTGGTTTCCTCCCATTGCTAAAGACCCCTATGCACAAGCAAATTGTTGAATTAAAATTGAACAATGTGTTAGTCCCGAAAAGACCTAGTTTGTGTGTTGAGTGGGCGTTAAACCCCATCTCTCTCTGTGTAATTATCAGGAATGCTGAGATTTGTAAACAGATATTTGTATACAAGTTCAGACAATTTCAAACCAATATGAAAGAGAATAATTTAAATAATGAATTTATTGTATTTTATATACTTTGTTTTGGGGGCTTTTTTTGTAGATCATTTAGTCAGAAACCTGAAGATAGGACTAGAGTTTTGATCATTCAAAGTGATTCTCAGGGTGGAAACACAAGCTTAGTTAAAAGTGCTCAGTATTGTGTTGATGACAACTTATCAAATGATCTAGTTAATTTTCATGTGATATTTATTATACAACTAGATAGAATAAGTCAACAACGATTTTCTGGATACCAGGTAAGAACAACAGAGTTCCTGTATAAACTTACAGGCGACCTCATATTTACACAAAATAGTAGTGCTGAAATTAAAGGAACCAAGTTGCTAGCTCAATATTATCCAAAGTCTTCGACTTTGCAAACACGACTTATTGGTCAATTTAAATCAGCATTGATGTTGTTATCTTACTGGGAAAAGATGGGTTTCTGATATCCAATATATAGGTAAAAATGAACATTTTAAGATGCTTTCGAGCGCCATTTGTAATGAAGCGACTCAATGAACAAGGCTAAACATACCCCACAGGAGAATACTACTGGTGTAGACTGGAATAACCAGATGCCAAAGACTGCCATTCAGTTGTGACTCTTCGAGTTTTTCACCGAACATAACTGATTAGAAATTACAAATAAAAACAGGAATGATTGAATGTAAATCAGTTTATATACTTTCTTAATACATTATTATATGAGTTGCGACTCATTTGTGTCCATTTCTAGGTGCCAAAGAATAGCGATTTAGCACCTTTAAGGTAAAATTTTATGCATCCATGCATCGAAAGAAAACAGTAATGTTTGCATTGATGCATCAGTCATTTTGCCCATCACCAAAACTGCCTCAAATCTCCTGGTATAAATTCTGTAAATTTATTACCCACATTAATACTAGTGCCTATTTTTGATATGTATTTTATAATATTCATACCTTTTCCTGAAGAAAATCCTAGAAATCTTTATACTATATCATAAAAGCACATGTGTAACAAAAAAAAAGTATCACATAATTTTCTGTGGATGGAATTCTGTGATATCTGTAGGGGGTTCTCAGAAATGATAAAGAGCACTTCAAGTGAGAAAACAATTTTATATGTACGTATAACCAGTGGCAAGTTCACACCAATCTGAATAATATTAATTGAGCTATCTTCACTCAAAGTCGCAAATATAGACCTCCCGTAAAAACAAATTTGCCAGTTGTTGAAACACTCTTAATCCAGTGATGTCACAGTGACCGAATGCATATTAGGAATGGTTATTCCTTAATTACCTATACACACTGTGATGTGTACTAATCCCCCGATTAAATAAAACAATTACCTACAGGATAATTTGATTTGTAATTTATTTTAATTTTAGATCCTATTTAGAATTAGTTTTAGACAATACAAATAGAATAAGTTATTTCTCAGGCCCCTCCTGCACCCAAAAAAAAAAGCATAATGCCCGCCCAATCATCGACACGTAAGTCATAAAAAAATATGTCGCATGTGCCTACTTAATCTACGTGATTACCTTGTGGTTTCTCCGTTGGGATATCTATCTACTGTCCAGTCCTTTACCAAGCGTGAACGTGATGATACTGACACACCTGTGACTGCTGGTTATACTTGAGTTCTGTGCCGTCACACAATAATGTTTATCTGTAACCATCTTATTTTGTAAGATTTGCCACGTCTGACAGCCAATTTGTCATTGCACAATATTTTAACCATTTTCCATTCACCGACAACAAAATATTCCGTACATATACACACATATATCCATACGAATCGCTGCCTATTAACAGCTTTAACTTTTTTACATATTGAAACTATGTCTTTTAAGACTCCATACAGAAATTCCTATCTGCAGTGGCACTTTCACACGATCTCTCTGTCGCATGGAACTCATCGCCTACGGTGCTGCTTACTATGAAACACAGAGTTTAAGGTCTTCAGACGAACAAGTATTTTGATTTTCAATGAAATTTGATAATTTAAACAGCTAAATCCATGATATTAATAAAATCCAAGCAAATTCTAATGATTTTCTGATAATTACTTAATGAGTTGTTACTCTTAATCAGATTTTAGTGTGTTTCATTACCGAAAAAAGTAAAAATATGTGATAACTCTTGTTGACTGCCCGGACGATTTAGCTGCTGTGGGCGTATGTTTTGTTGCCTTGCAACCTATCTTTATGATAATGCGGCATTTTAGAATTCACTCTAAAATATTCCAGTCAAAAGTATGCTATCTATAATAATTCAAGTTGAGAAAGGCAACTCATAAAAATGCCTTGACGTATAGTGATTATAGCTGCTTGTATGTAGATAACACAGGCACTTGAAGGGATTAAAATAAAACTTCTTACTACTGCTTGACTATATATTATAGTATATAAGAAGGTATTTCAGCCGCCATCTTTGTTTTCACGTCTTCAAGGCATTACGTCTGCTAACATCTCGCAATACTCACTATTTCTAACACTACCCGTCGTTATTATTGCCAACGAGACCTTATTTGATCATTATTCAGCTTCCGATGTAATTAAATTGGGCATTTAACAGCATTATTAATTACAAATCAAACATGAAGCGCTGTCACTTGTCGAAATTCGTCTTCATCAGGCCGGAAATAAGATTTGTTTGTAGCAGTCTGTATCACCCAGTCCCTTATAAACCTATCTGTTACTCGAAATTTGGTCGGTAAATGATCGAGCCTACGAAGCGAGGCCGCACCGCAGGTGCAGTCTGGATCACACAGTTCCTAGGAAAATTTCGAGTAAGAAATACCTTCTTATATACTATAATATATAGCCAAGCAGTAGTAAGAAGTTTTATTTTAATCCCTTCAAGTGCCTGTGGTAGATAATTATAATGGGATAATGATTAGGTCAGTCAGTCTGTTGGTTGAACCACAGGAGCTTGACCTTCTATCCGTATATACCGGTATATGCATACACCATGTCCAACCAGACAATATATAATAAAAAAAGAACAGGAATGCAATGCCTGTTGAAGACTCGATTTTACCTGCTCTTGCTTCGGCTCGTTTTTTTTTTCAACAATTCGTAATGTCAGGCAATCAAACCTCTGTCGATTCACTGAGATATGTTTTTTCTTCAATCTAGTCATTTTGATTTGCATAAATACTCCCACAAAACGATATCATAGCCACTTGTTTCCAACATTTACATTACTTTCGTCCATTACCATTTTGTCACTGCCGCCATGCGCTGACGTCAAATGGTGGTGTGTATAGATATTGATATGATCATAATAGTGTATATTCTATGTGTGGTCCCTGTAACGTCACCAGCCAATCAACCAGATTAAGGCTGTAATTGAAAAATTAAATAGTGTTTTCGTGTGTCCGATACTTAATATGTCAAATAATTAGGGTTTCACACTGCATAGCTTGTGTGAAATACTATTGTTTTCTTTAAGATTTTTCTTATTATTATTCTATTGTGATTACTAAAATTATTAGGCTTTCAGACTTTCGTTGAAAGGCTATTGTGATTACTAAAATTATTATTATTATTATTATTTACTACGGACCCTTATTTCTCTGTCCCTGTAGGAAAAAGATACCGATCTGGGATCTAATTTTCTATCGGGAAACCATGTGGTTGTTACTCCATAAACTATTTTTAAAACTTCTGCACAGACCGGAAGTGGCCGAATTTGGTATTGTCACAAAAATTTAAAAAACGGCTGTTGTTTCATCAATTCTTCACCTATTTTCAAACAAATGACATTTTTGGAAATCATGGGTCTTTTCTGGGACGATAGCACTGGAAAATCTTGAAATTTCGAATAAGTTTATAACCCAAAGATCTTCGTTCCTGTCGATATTCGCGCATATCAGACCGTAACTTCCAGAATTATGGCCCCTGATTATACAAAAAATCGCGTTTTTAGCTTGTGGACCCTATATAGAGGTCATAATTTTTATCCGATTTAAAAAAACGTTTTAAAAATATAAAACCGTTTGAATATATCACGGTTACACCCTAAGGATGGTTTAGTTTGAATTTCGTAAAAATCAGACCAAAACTGACAGACAAAATGGCCGCCCCTCGTACTCAAATAGCGTAAAAATATGACATAATCAAGGTTGTGGGCTCTTTAGAAGTCACAATTTTCTTCTGACTTTGATGAAACTTGAAATGTAAGTTTATAACACAAAGATCTTGGTTCCTTTCGATATTCGCGCATATCGGACCGTAACTTCCTGAATTATGGCCCCTGATTGTACAAAAAATCGCGTTTTTAGCTTGTGGACCCTATAGAGGTCATAATTTTTATCTGATTTAAATAAAGGTTTGAATGTATCACCCTTACACCCTAAGGATGGTACAGTTCGAATTTCATAAAAATCAGACCAAAATTGACAGACAAAATGGCCACCCATTGTACTCAAATTGCATAAAAATATGGTATATCAATGTTGTGGACCATATAGAGGTCACAATTTTCTTCTGATTTTGATGCAACTTGAAATGTAAGTTTATAACCCAAAGATCTTGGTTCCTCTTGATATTTGCGCATATCGGATCGTAACTTCCTGAATTATTGCCCCTGATTGTATGAAAAATCACGTTGTTAGCTTCACGTTCCTCTAGAGGTCAGAATTATTATCCGATTTATAAAAAAACGTTCAAATATATCACCGTTAAACCGTAATTTTGGCTGAGTTCGAATTTCACGAAAATCGAACTAAAACTATTGGACAAAATGGCAGCCCCTCATACGCAAATAGTGTATAACATCTGGTATATCAAAGTTGTGGACCCTCTAGAGGTCACAATTTTGATCCGATTTTGATGAAACTTGAAATACATGGTTATAACCCAAAGATATTGATTCCTTTCGATATTAGCGCGTATCGGATGATAACTTCCTGAATTATTCCCTCTGATTATACGAAAGATCATGTTTTTAGCTTGTGATACCTCTGGAGGTCACAATTATTACCTGATTTAAAAAAACGTTTGAATATATCACCTTTACACCGTAATTTTGATTGAGTTCGGATTGCTGGATTTGGTTGATTCCGCGTCCATTTAATAACATTTGCCACTTGATAAGGCAAATATCCTGAACTCCTATTTTGCCTCGATTTCAAAATTAAATGGTGTACCTGACCTCCCAAATTTTGCTTCTCGTAGTAACAACGAATTACATCAATTTATTGTAAGTGAACAAGAGGTAAGAGACCAGCTACTAATTCTTAACTGTTCAAAGCCTTCTGGTCCCGATAACATCAGCCCAGCTGTGCTAAAAAAGATAACTCTGTCACTAAGTTTTTTAATCTTTCATTAGAACACCAATTATTACCTGATATTTGGAAGACTTCTCATATCATTGCAGCGTATAAAGGAAAAGGTGATCCGCAGTTCCCTGACAACTATAGACCAATTTCATTAACATGCTCATTATGTAAAATACTAGAGAAAATCTTATTCAAAAATCTTTATAATTTTATTAAAGAAAATAAACTGCTATATAAGTATCAGTCTGGTTTTCAACCAAACGATTCCACAATAAATCAACTTTTAGAAATTTATGATGTTATAATAAGTAATCTTGATATAGGAAAGCAAATTCGATTTATATTTTGTGATGTATCAAAAGCGTTTGATAAAGTTTGGCATATGGGTTTATTGTCTAAATTAAAACAATATGGAATTAATCAAATACTATGTAAATGGATTGAACACTATTTAAGTAATAGACAACAATGTGTAGTTTTAGAAGGCTTTAAATCAAATTATTTGCATACCGATTCTGGAGTTCCCCAAGGAAGCGTACTTGGTCCGTTTTTATTTTTAATTTATTTAAATGATATCTCTGATAATATAACTAACAACATAAGGCTATTCGCCGATGATACTTCACTTTTTACCATTATTCATAAAGATCCTCTAAGTAGCGCAAACACTATAAATAAAGATCTTGATATTATCTCATCGTGGGCTAAACAGTGGTGTGTAACTTTTAACCTAAATAAAACCAAAAATATTATTTTTACTAGGAAAAATACAATTCATCCAGACGTTACCTTCGAAAATACAAAAGTTGAAAATGTAAATACTCATTGTCATTTGGGATTGACATTTCAGTCTAATGCATTATGGTCAAATCATATTTCAAATATATACCAGAAAGCTTGCGGTCGTCTAAATATTTTGCGTGTACTGAAATATAAAATTAATAGAATTTCACTTAATAAAATATATCTTGCTTTTATTCGCCCTATTTTAGAATATGCTGATATTGTATGGGATAACTGCTCAATGAAAGATTCTGACCTACTAGAAAGTGTCCAAATTGAAGCGGGTAGAATAATAACTGGCCTTAGAAGAAATTCATTTAAAAACAATTTATACAATGAACTGGGATGGGAATCACTATCCAATCGCAGAACAAAACACAAATTAATATATCTATATAAAATAAAAAATAATCTATGCCCCAGCTATCTGTCTGAAGTCTTTAACAAATTTAAACCATTAGCTTCCAATTATAACCTTCGTAATGAAAATCAGAACCTCAATCCACCATTTTGTAAAACCAATTCGTATTTTAATAGCTTCTTTCCCTGTACAATTAAACTTTGGAACAATCTACCAGAACATATTAAAAAGTCACAAACTTTAAGTACATTTAAATCAGGTCTTTCACGTGTATATCCTTTAATTAGACCACCCTTATATTATAATACTGGAAATAGAAAAGAGAATATTATTCATTGTCAATGAAGAAATAAAGCTAGTAACTTAAATAATCACTTATTCCACCATTTTCTGAGTGAAACAAAAGCATGCCCAAACTGTAATTCTACAGACGAAGATAATTATCATTATTTTTTTCAAATGTCCAGCCTACTCTGCCACAAGAACATTTCTCCGCAATAATATACACCAGCTTAAACTAAATGTTACAATGGATCTAATTTTATAAGGTAACACCAATCTTCCAGATTATACCAATTATAACATATTTGTAATAGTGCAAAAATTTATAAAAGATAGCAAGCGGTTTTGAAGCTTTAATTATTAAATCTATGTCTACATTATGTAATATTTTTTATATTTTTTATAACCTTAAATGTAATTATAATATACATGTATATCTAAACATTACACTCCAAGAAATGTATATATGTTTGTAACTCACTACCTATACATGTGTCCACCAGTGTTTATTGTAAACATAAGATTAAACTATTTTATATGTTTGGAGAGAACTTATATAGGCATTTGCCTGTTGTTCAATCCATTTCAGTTTATTGAATAAAATATTGTTTAAACTAAACTAACATGTGTGCAATGCTAATGTGGAAATCTGTTTAACGATTTCATTGGTACCGGAAGTGAAATGAGTTCACGGGTAACTGGGCACCGGAAGTGACATAAGTTCAATGGTAACGTGGCACCGGTGAAACCCGTCATTACTGCATTGCAGTTCTAGTTTTAATTAGATTGGTGTGAACTTGCTGTAATGTGTATATAGTAACCACTGGCTATACGTAAAAATAATATTGTTTTCTCACTTGATGTGCTCTTTAAACTTCTATAAGCAACTTATCGGCAATACATAAGTAGATACTAGATTCCTTGATGTTAGCTCTTCATTAATTGATGCAAATAATAATTGTCAATTCACAGCAAGAAATATTTTTGGAAATCTGAAGGCAGGGTTTTACATGACAGTCGTTTCTTTACTGTTTGATGTATTGACGTATAGCAAATAAGACGATAATTATATCTTTGATGCATCAATGAAAAATAACAGAACTAATTATAGCTTATTATATATGTTCTAGGTTAAATCTAGCGATTGTTGAACAAATGTGTATGTATTTGTATCTATTGATTTGTCAATTTAAGGGTGGTAAATGGCATTGTTTACATATTGATGACTTGCATCCAACCAGAGAAATCGGAGCAACTTTAATGCAGATGCAGAATTTGTCTGTGGCTGATTTATTTAGAAGAAAGGAACAAAAGGCCAATAGATCGGGTGATTACAGTGTAACAAGCAGAGATAGTGGTTTAGAAATATCATCTACCTCAATTGAGGACAGTCCAGAAGAAGAAGAACCGATAACACCAGATGATATTCAACTAGAGGAGACGATTCCAGCGTTTACAGACCAGTATGTTCTATCACAGATTATAGATTGTGTACAAGCAGCTGTTGGAAGAGTAAAAGATGATAAAAAAAATTTATTCAGACCAACACAAAGAGTTTCTATATTACTGTCTTTACTAAATGGTGAGTGTACTCTATTATATTAACAAAATTGATGCACATGCCCATGTCATAAACTATGATAGTAGCTTATGTCTTGAATATGACTACTTTTATGTACTGGGCCGATGACTTGGCTGCAATTGACTTTTTGAAAAAAAATTGACAATATAACACTTTTCATGCCTATGATTACGATTTCATTATAGTTTTAGATTTTCATTAATGTTTAATAAATATTTTTTCATAGATACTGAGGGAGAATTTAGTAAAGGAATAATAAGTTTGATAAGCTATTTGATTAAAGAAAAAGAGACAGAGAGAGCAGAGTATCATCATGCTACAAAGTGGTTGGTTAAAGAAGCTTGTAAACCTGATAATATTAACAGGACCGGAACATTTAGGTATTGAATTGCTACATATTGAATAACATTATCTTTTAAATCCATTCTTTCATGGATGACTATTATCCTGTGAACTAATGCATCTGGTGATGAGAAAGAAAAGACTAAAATTATACTCCATGGTGATAGGAGATAGAAGGGACAGCATTCATATTAGAAGTGTGCTTTGATCTATAGACCCATTTTCATTAGCCCATGACCTGTCGGGCTGAGACGACAATTAGTTACTGCTTATAAAATGATCTTGGCTTTCAGTAAGTTTTAGATATGCAACACAAGAATGAGCAATTATGTAAGTAAATTTTACATATGTAAAACAAGAATGAGTAATTATGTAAGTAAATTTTACATATGTAAAACAAGAATGAGTAATTATGTAAGTAAATTTTACATATGTAAAACAAGAATGAGTAATTATGTAAGTACATTCCTGTAGAAACGTTCAGTAAGTTTTAGATATGCAGCACAAGAATGAGTAATTATGTAAGTAAATTTTAGATATGTAAAACAAGAATGAGTAATTATGTAAAGAAATTTTACATATGTTAAACAAGAATGAGTAATTATGTAAGTAAATTCCTGTAGAAACGTTCAGGCGTTCAGTAAGTTTTAGATATGCAGCACAAGAATGAGTAATTATGTAAGTAAATTTTAGATATGTAGAACAAGAATGAGTAATTATGTAAAGAAATTTTACATATGTTAAACAAGAATGAGTAATTATGTAAGTAAATTCCTGTAGAATCCTTCAGGCGTTCAGTAAGTTTTAGATATGCAGCACAAGAATGAGTAATTATGTAAGTAAATTTTAGATACGTAAAACAAGAATGAGTAATTATTTAAGTAAATCTTAGATATGTAAAACAAGAATCAGTAATTATGTAAGTAAATTCCTGTAGAACCGTTTGTGAAAAGCCATTTCGCCACATGCATCAGATTTCTTTTTCAAAGGATTGTCTAAGAACCAGAATAATTATTTGTATGGCCATTTATTAATAAATTTATCATGTATTTATTAGACATCCCATCTGTTAAATGAAAACATTAAACAAAGATAGATTGTGACAGACAGAAAATTTATGTGCACAGAAAACCTGAAAGATTACCATCAACAAAGGTGTAGACAGATCTTAACTCATTTAAGCCAAGAGCCAATTAATAGATTAGCTACCCTATCCGGGTCACTCCCATTGACTACACCCCATTTCGACTACAAATTTTATTACCCTCAAAATCCTGCCCCCCAACTAATCAGCATTGAAGTGTTCCACTGATTAAGAGATGTAATTAATCTCATGATTAGTGTTAAAATAGCTTATTCATTATATATTATAACTTCTTTTCTTTAACATCAAAGCAAACATATCAACTCAAGAGTACATTGAGAATACTTGCTTATATCTATATAAGATGAAATGTTTCAAATTTTGTACATTTATTCTTCAAGTTCACTATCGATCATTCAGTCAAAATTTTTGTTATCTTATTAGAATTCCGTTATAACAAATATTGTGTTTATTTTCAAATTCTGGAATTTGGAAGTAGAAATATTTGTTTATATATTAACAATAACATTGTATAGAAGAAATAATTAATTTTTCATTTTTTTTTCTGTTTGTTTTGATGTAACCTGTTATACACTGTAGCCTAAATGTGATGTTTTATGGAACAATCTATTTTAGTTATGGAGAGGGTATATAAAGTAGCGATAATAAAACCACCAGACCATATAATATGTTGTTGTAAACTGTAGTCAAATGGGACCTAGGCGAAATGGGAGGGTAACCCCTATCCCTAGACCTCATTAAATCAGCAGGGCCCATCTCCCTAAGCCAATGGATTATTGTTAATCCTAATACCTTCTACAAAATTGCAAATAACTAAAAAAATATTTTCTATACAAAGAAATACTATTACAGATTGTCATGTTTTTTCCATGATATAAAATTCAGTTGTATAAAGTAGCAATTATATTACTATAAATAATATTGAAAAGTCAGTTACACTAAAATTATGACTTTTCTCTGTCATAATCGTGAAAAAACGTGAACAAGTATCACCTAAGATTTTTTTATTTTTATACCCCGCCTTTCGAACAAAGCAGGGGACTATTAAAATCGGTTTGTCCATCTGTCTGGACATCCGTCCGTCAGGTCTGTCCGTCACACTTTTTGGGACACAATAACTCTCTTTCTAACTGAGCTAGAATGTTCAAACTTGGTGTAGGTGCAGGGCTGTCGGTAATTTTTCACAGTTGATTAGCAGCACTGCTAATCAAAAAGTCCAATTTTGCCAAATTTGATTAGCAAATTTAAAAATTGATTAGCAGTTTTTCAGTTTCAACATAAAACACCTAAATAACAAGATATTACTTTAGTTCATAACAACTATGATTAGATTCCATTCTTACTATTCTTAGATTTTTTTAGCACTGCCACAAGTACTTGTGACAGTTTGTGAATGTGATGTAGACATTTAGTTAGGTCTTATGTCTAAAGCCAATTCTTAACAGTGACTTCCGAAGCCCCAATCATTTTAATTGTTATTTTTTGTTACATTAGAAGTCTTCGCTAGAAAACAATTTCGTCTGCTTTTTATCGTGTATTGCTATTTTTGTTCAATCGGGCACACCTCGATTAACTAGACACACGTGATATTTTATGGGAATTTTTACTTTGATTTATCATTTTACAATACGTTAACATATATTTATTTTTTTATATTTTATTTACAATACGTGGGGGATACACTGGATATATTTCTTTCAAAATGAATATGATATAATTACTTGATGTCTCGCAACGTGTGTGGTACTACTTGATTCCCTATTTCCGGTTTAATAGTCCCTATTCATAGAGTTATGTCCCTGTATTATATAGTACCATATAATGAATTGTGTCTGGGTAGTTCGAGAAGAAAATGTCACACAGAGAATTCAGTTTTGTTTATAAAATTTTATTCAACATTTTATACACATTGAAAGTGTTGAGAAAGCCTTCTAGTCTTCAAATTTGGATTATCCTTGTGTCAATATCCAAAATGACAGGCATATTAATGATTCGCAGTTACTGCGAATCAAAAACTTTAGATTTTAATTTTTGATTAGCAACGGACAAAATATTTATCGCAAATAGCACTGCGATACTGATTGTCGGCAGCCCTGTGTAGGTGTTTATTAGGTCAATGCCTTGATGGAGTTGGAAGATGAGCATTTTCTGCTTAGGGTAAGCAGAGATAAGCAATTAGATTGGTTGATGCTTTGGGATTAAGTGAGAGTGATGAAACTTGGTGTATAGTTTTATTACATCAATACCTTGACTAAGTTCGATAATGAGCATTTTCTGCTCAGAGTAAGCAGAGTGACAAGCAATTTGATTGGTCGAGACTTTGGAACATGGTGTATAGTTTCATTACATCAATACCTTGACTAAGTCAGATAATGAGCATTTTCTGCTCAGTGTAAGCAGAGTGACAAGCAATTTGATTGGTTGAGTTTTGGAACACAATAACTCTCATTCTAATTGAGTTAGAATGTTCACACTTGGCATAGGTGTCAATTAGGTGAATTCCTTGATGGAGTTTAAGATGGGAATTTCTGCTTAGGGTAAGCAGAGATAAGCAGTTTGATTGTTTGATGGTTTGGGACAGGATAACTTTAGTTCTAATTAAGTGAAAGTGAGTGCACTTGGTGTATAGCTTGAGTATATCAATACCTTGATTAAGTACGATAATGAACATATTTTGCTGAGGGTAAGCTGAGTGATAAGCAATTTGATTGATCGAGACTTTGGAACACAATAACTCTCCTTCTAATTGAGGTAGAATGTTCAAACCTGGCGTAGGTGTCTATTAGGTGAATGATGTAGATGTTCATTAGGTGAATGTCTTGACTGAGTTCAATGATTAACATTTCGAGCTGAAGCTAAGCAGAGCTAATCGATTTCATTTGTCGATGGTTGGGGACAAGATAATCTTGATTCTATCTGATAGAGAGTGATGAAACTTAGTGAAAAAAAATAAATGTGCAATTAATTAATATGTGTCAACTATTTATTTTGCAATTTCGGCGGGAGACATCAGCCTCACTGTTGGCTTGTTTTTTTTAAAAATAGAACACAAATATAATCCATCACATTAGCAGCAGTGTTCAAAGTAAATATATATAACTTTAAAAAGAAATATCTCTCCAAATGACCGTCACTTATTAGCCGTAAGTTTTGTGGTATCATCTGTCTGAAAGCATGTCCAAGATGGCGGCTGACACGCTTGATCTCGGCTGGAGTCTACCTATTCTTCGCATCATAACGTTTCTCACCTCTGACCTATGTAAATACCAGAAGATCCATTGTTGAAATGTATGTTTTTTATTGGATGATTAGTGAATATAACATTCCTTTTCATTGGGTGTTTTTTGTTTATTACTCAATCACCATTTAAAAAATAAAACAATAGAAATCAGTTGATTGATTCGACGCTTTTGTTTGTTAATGATGTTGCCAGGTATAATGGGTCTCGAGTTGACTCCCTTCCGTCAAATGACGTGGTGCGAACTGATTAGCTCACGTCAAAAATGGGTTAACTTGTTTAACTAACTATGTTGTTATGTATTCTTTATTAAGGCGAGCCTGGAGTCAGTATCTAGAAGAAAAAATCACTCCAATACTTGCTGGTATAATTTCTTACATTGATAAGAATTTAAATCTAAACATCATTAATGACACAACAGATTGGAAGAAATCAGTCTGGTTGACAATTCTAGGAAAACCTAAAGTGTGCGGTTTGAAATACACAGATCTAATCTCAACAGAGAAAATGGAAGAATTAAATGAATTTGTTGTGCGTAATACTGGTTATGGCCGACAATCCTTTCAAGCAAGTTTTCCATTTTCTTGGCTGTTTTATGACTTGGTTGAAACATCTCTACATACATCAGTTGGTCAAGATCTCAACTTAACAGGTATGGCAATGAATTTTATAAATTGATATATTTCATGTGGAAATGTGGACGTATATTGCCGTCGCTCCTGTCTGGACGTCTGTCGTCCACAATTTCTTGTGAACGCTCTAACTCCAGAAGTTTTAATCCGATCTTTTTGAAATTTATATGCATTATTTAAATTAAGAAGCCTATTGACTTTCAGCAATTTCCGTTTATTACGTCTAGAGTTATGGCCACGTTTCACTTTATTGAACCTTGTGAACACTCTAACGCCAAAAGTTATCACCCGATCTTTGTGAAATTTATATGCATGATTTAAATTAGTGAAACGGGGAAGCCTATTGCATTTCAGCAATCTCTGTCAATTACTTCTATAGTTATGGCCTTGTTTCACTTTATTGAACCTTGTGAACGCTCTAACATCTGTATGAAATTTATATGCGTCATTTAAATTAGTAAAGAGAAGAATCCTATTGAATATCAGCAATTTCCGTTATTACTTCTAGCGTTATGGCCCGTGTTTCACTTTGTTGCAATTTGTGAACGCTCTAACCACTAAAGATACCTGCTGATCTGTATGAAATTTATATGTGCCATTTAAGTTAGTAAAAAGAAGAATCATATTGAATTTCAGCAATTTCCGTTTATTACGTCTAGAATTATGGCTCGTTTCACTTTATTGAATCTTGTGAACGCTCCAACGCCAAAAGTCATCATCCAATCTTTGTGAAATTTATATGCATTATTTAAATTAGTAAAACCACGAAGCCTATTGAATTTCAACAATTTACAATAATTACTTCTAGAGTTATGGCCCTTGTTTCACTTTGTTCAACCTTGTCAATGCTCGATTGATGAAAGTTATCATCCGATATGTATGAAATTTATATGCATCATTTAAATTTGTGAAAGAGAGGTCTATTGAATTTACGTCAATTATTTCTAGAGTTATGGTCCTTGTTATACTTTGTGAACCTTGTGAACGTTTGAATCACAAAAGTGATCATCCGATCTGTATGAAATTTATATGCATTATTTAAATTAGTAAAAGGAAAAAAGCCTGTCAAATTTCAACAATTTCTGTAAACTACTTACAGAGTTGAGGCCCTTGTTTCAGTTTGTAGAACTTTGTGAACACTCAAACGACAAAATTATAATCTGATCTGTAGTGAACTGTCTTGTAAAGGCCCCTAATTACCTACAAAGGAATAAATATGCGACAACCCTTGACGACCGCTCGGAGAATTAAGCTGCTGTGGGCGTATGTTTCATTGCCTGGCAACCTACCTTTATATGGCCAAGAATAAAGACCAATAAGTAAACGACCATTAAGTGTTAATAAATGAAAGTTGTATTTTTTATTCTCATAAGATCTAGAGATTGTAAGTCATACAGTTGATGTAATTGAAAAAAGTGAACTAGTAAAGATACTCGAAGATTCTGTGCGTTCACATAACCAGAAAGAAGAAATGTTCAATTCTTATATGAGAGATTTTATTGTGATGAAGTATGGTCCAAAAGACAAGAATATTTTAGAGGTATTGTGAAAAGTGTATATTCCCTTTTGTAGGTTCATCTGTCCATCTATCTGTTCACAACACAAGAGGCTAATTATTTGATATTTTAAAATTTGTATATTGTTCATATTTGTAAAACCAAAATGCCTATTTTACCAATTTCTGATAATCATTTCAGTGTCATACAGTCATTGCTCTTGATCACTTTGAAAAATTTTGTGGATAACTTGGTGGTTACATTTATTATCCAATTGACACAACATTTATACTAGTGCTGGGTATTGCCACTACAGCAAATCGTGAGGAGGTGAATCGCGATACATTGAATCAGCAAATCGTTAGAAGGCGAATTGCGATACATTGATTAACAATATATCGTGCCAGCACTAATTTATACACAATATTCATCAGCATAAGAAGTAAAGCCAATAACTAAAATTAAACATTCAGTGTATTTATTTATTTGGGCCCAAGGAGAAACCTCATTGAATTTCAATCATTTGACCCATTACACTGAGAACTGCTAAAGGGTGAATCTGTGCACAGCCACCCTATAATTCTCAATCATCGTTGTTATTTGTACGTGTATCGAAAGAAAATTAATTTTCCGACTATTACTCAGTATTACCGCATTAAAATTGTAAATAAGGTGTGTTAATTAACAAGGGTGAAAAATTGTCTGAGAGGTGAGTTAATTAACGGTAGGGGTGAAAAACTGTGCGACAGTGCGTTTTCAGTAGAGGTGTGTTAATTAAGCGACCGGTAAAAAAATGAATGTCAATGTTGTGTATTGTTTAATTGGCGTGTTTTCTCGCTAGTTGCGATAACTGCATCAAAAGGAGTATAATCAAGAACCAACAGGCTTTATCTGACACGTACGTGTTACATCAAAATTTGGGAAGTAAAACTGTTTTACCGTGCGATTTATCATTCGACCGTGTGTTTTACGCAGGTCTTTGTATAATTAAAGGCAGGTCTTTTGACAGGCGTGTGTGCTCGCTATGATCTACGTTTCTCTTATGTGTCTTTTGTATTGCATACCATATATATAAAGTTGAATTTAATGAAATAAAAATACGGATCTATCGTATACGGAAAGGCGAATGTCATGTCGTCATTTATAAATACCCAGCAGTCAGTGCCCAATTTGAATATCCACGGGAATATAGAGAGTAAATCCAGCAAAAACAACATAAATATATTTTTGCTTTATTACTAAAAAGACATGCACTCACCGTTTGACATTTATTAAATTTATAAAAACGTGCCATGTTGCGTGAATTGTGCATCTTACCTTCAATAGCAATATCCATAAAACAGGCGTGTGTGCTCGCTATGATCTACGTTTCTCTTATGTGTCTTTTGTATTGCGTACCATATATATAAAGTTGAATTTAATGAAATAAAAATACGGATCTATCGTATACGGAAAGGCGAATGTAATGTTGTCATTTATAAATACCCAGCAGTCAGCGCCCAATTTATAAATACCCAGCAGTCAGCGCCCAATTTGAATATCCACGGGAATACAGAGAGTAAATCCAGCAAAAACAACATAAATATATTTCTGCTTTATTACTAAAAAGACGCGCACTCACTGTTTGACATTTGTGACCCAGTCCAGCAAAATGAGTCACAGTGACCCAAAAACACAAAATGAGTTATTGATCATAGTGGTAAGCTGGTGAAATTAGCTTCAAAATGGTGAAAAAATTATCATTCTATCATTAACGGTCACACAATTATGGCAATTTTAATAAGTTGTATGAAATAGTAATATTTTTTCTTAAGTTTTGCATAAAATGCCTCCAAAGTGAAAGTCAATTTAATGTGGTAAAGTGTTCAGTAAACACATATATATATTATGTCACCAAAATATGATAAAACATATTTATGACAGGTTTCAGCATAATTTTATTATTCAAACATGAAAATGATGGTTGCCTTGACAACTGATACTGAATATGCTGAAACATGATATTGATTTCAAATCAATCTAAAATTAACAACTGATTATGAAATATTTACACAGATACTGATATACAAGATAAATTTTACAATTCAAGTTAATAATGACATGCACAAAAGTTTCAATTATTGTGGTTGCCATGGAAACCATAAGTGTCCAAACAAGATACTGTTAATCACAGCTAATTAATACAAATTACAATCCAAACTCATTGTAAAAAGTTCAAATCAAAATAATACAGTTACCAGTTAACAATCAAAATTATTGTTGTTGCCATGGAAACCAATAGTATCCTTACAAGACACTGTTAATGATACTCAAATTACTTCAGATTATTACATATTTACAGTTCAAATTGATAATGAAATGTACAAATCTTCCAATCAGTTAAATATCGAAATCATTGTTGTTGCCATGGAAACCAATAGTGTCCCAACAGGACACTTTTAAACATAGTCAAATCATTAATTAATACAAATTACAATCCAAACTCATTGTAAAAAGTTCAAATCAAAATAATACAGTTACCAGTTAACAATCAAAACTATTGTTGTTGCCATGGAAACCAATAGTATCCTTACAAGACACTGTTAATGATACTCAAATTACTTCAGATGATTACATATTTACAGTTCAAATTGATAATGAAATGTACAAATCTTCCAATCAGTTAAATATCGAAATCATTGTTGTTGCCATGGAAACCAATAGTGTCCCAACAGGACACTTTTAAACATAGTCAAATCATTAATTAATACAAATTACAATCCAAACTCATTGTAAAAAGTTCAAATCAAAATAATACAGTTACCAGTTAACAATCAAAACTATTGTTGTTGCCATGGAAACCAATAGTATCCTTACAAGACACTGTTAATGATACTCAAATTACTTCAGATTATTACATATTTACAGTTCAAATTGATAATGAAATGTACAAATCTTCCAATCAGTTAAATATTGAAATCATTGTTGTTGCCATGGAAACCAATAGTGTCCCAACAGGACACTTTTAAACATAGTCAAATCATTAATTAATACAAATTACAATCCAAACTCATTGTAAAAAGTTCAAATCAAAATAATACAGTTACCAGTTAACAATCAAAACTATTGTTGCTGCCATGGAAACCAATAGTATCCTTACAAGACACTGTTAATGATACTCAAATTACTTCAGATTATTACATATTTACAGTTCAAATTGATAATGAAATGTACAAATCTTCCAATCAGTTAAATATCAAAATCAGTGTTGTTGCCATCGAAACCAATAGTGTCCCGACAGGACACTTTTAAACATAGTCAAATCATTTTAGATTAATACAGTTTTACAGTTCAAATTGATAATCAATTGTACAAAACTTCCAATCAGAAAACAGTCATTGGTTAACAATCAAAATTAATGTTGTTGCCATGGAAACCAACTAGTGTCTGAACAAACATTGTTAAACATAGCCAAATTATTTCAGATTATTACAAGTTGATAATGAAATGTGCAAAAGTTCTAATCACCAGTTAACTATCAAAATTATTGTTGTTGCCACGGAAACAAATAGTGTCCCAACAAGACACTGTTATCCATAGTAAAATTATTTTGGATTACTGCAGTTTTCAAATTCAAGTTCCAATCAGAAAAACACAAGTCACCAGTTAAAGGAGCTAAATCGCTAATATTTGGGACCTAGAAATTGGCACAACTTGGCCGCAACGCATATAATAATGTAATATGAATGTATATAAACTGATTTATTTTCAATCGTTTCCGTTTTTAAAATCAGTTATGTTCGGCGAAATACATCAGAAATCTCAATCGATTGGCAGTCTCTAGCGTCTGGTTATTCCAGTCTACACCGATAGTATTCATTGCGCATGCTGCTCTCTAGATAAGAATATAGCGTCACCATTTTACATGACTTGTGGAATATGTTTAGCCTCGTTCATCGAGTGCCTTCTTACAAATGATGCTGAAACACATTACGGTACACGATTCGTGTACCAATGGTAAAATATATATTTTTTCTTAAATATTGGATATCAGAAGCTCACCTTTTCCTGGTAAGATCACAGCATCAATGTTGATTTAAATTGACAAATAATTCGTATTTTCAATGTCGAAGAATTTGGATAATAATGAGTTAGAGACTTAGCTACTTTAACAATCAAAATTATTGCCATGGAAACCAATAGTGTCCCAACGAGACACTGTTAATCATAGTCAAATTATTTTGGATAACTACAATTTTCCAATTCAAGTCAATCAAGTTGATAATGAAATGTACAAACGTTCAAATAAAAAAAAACGCAGTTGTTCTTGCCATGGAAATCAATAGTATCCCTACAAGACACTGTTAATCATACTCAAATTAGTTCAGATTATTACAAATTTACAGTTCGAGTGGATAATGAAATAATGTACAAAACTCCCAATCAGTTAACAATCAAAATCGTTGTTGTTGTCATGGAAACCAACTGTGTCCAACAGGAAACTGTTAATCATAGTCAAATTTTTTCCGATCAGTACAGATTTATGTTTCAAATTGATAATGAAATATACAAAAGTTCAAATCAGAAAAACACATATCACCATTTAATTACTCCTCAAATTTTCTTATCTTGCTAGGGGGCACAATAATTTCTTCATCTTCGTCTGATTTTGATTCGTTTGCACTTGGCACTGGGCAGGTGATGTCTTGTGTTTCACAAGTGCAGAATTTTCTGATGTTTCTGTAAAGGTATTGCTGCCTTTCTAAGGGCAACCCTGGAGGGGCAAGTGACTCTGGTCTGTCTGCAGGCGGCAGTAATGTTGCTTTCTGCAGACATACTCCAACTTCCAAAGAGGAAGTAAATTCCTTCTTAAATACCCATCCTGGGTGTTCACTGTCAAATCTGAAAGAACATTGATGAGTAAATAAAAATACTGTAGTATGTTACTAATAATATTAACTGTGCTCAAATTAAAAGTGCATTGTTTTATACACAAATGAAATGAAATAGGTTTACGATCCTACTTTTCTGCATCAATGGGGCTAATGAAAACGGGTATGCAATG